CAGCCGGAAAACATCCCCCCATTGATAGAAGAGTCAACCCATGTGATGGGCTTTGACCCCTGTCCCAAGGACCCCTTCAACAGCTGCAAAGCATGCCCTTCCTACAAGGTCTCCTGGTGCTTGGGGCTGTGGTGAAGGCGTGGCGTGGGGCCGCTGTCTAGGTCATCCTGGGGGCGCCCTGTGCAGCTGCTGCATACCTAGAAACTGCTGTGGAGTAAGCAGGCCTGGCGAAGGCCACAGCCTCTCAGTCACACAAACTGGGTGGTGGGATTTGGACGTTTTCCCCTGCAGAGCAGCTGTCTGAGCTCTCAGCTGGCCCCTGCCGTGTGTTCTGCCCTTTGGGGACTTCACAGTGGAGGGGCTGACCTCAGATGACCCTCTGAGCCTGCCCTCCTCACACCTAACTCTGATGAATCCTGGGAAAGCCATCTTTGCCCCCTCCCTGGACACACCAGGTTCTGCTCCAGCAGGAGACGTGGGCATGGAGTAGCTGTGGCTGTGAAGGACAGAGTTGAGGAGGGCACTCTGGCCAGGGGATGGGCTGGAAGGGAGAGGCGTGGGTTTAATGTAGGGACAGGGTGCAGATCAATTGAGTCGGCTGGTGTGTGTTTTCCTACTTGGTGCTGGGCGTTTCTTCAAAGTCAGGCATGTACTCACGAGCCCTGCGGCTGTCAACATCCTGCTGCCCAGTGACCAGCCCGTCCTGGGTGCTGTTGATCTGCAAGCCTTGGCCACCACCTGCCCAGCACCACAAACAAGGCAGAATTTGGTGGGCTGTGCTGAGTTGTGGAGAGGAGTTATGGGCTGAGGTATCTTGAGGTGGGAGGGAAGCCAGACTCTACTTCTATCTCTGAGCCAGCCCCTTACCTTCTAGGAGGTTTGCTGGCCTGTGGCCTCAGAGGAGGGGAGGGGCGTGAGTGCTGAGCTTCCTGGGAGCGACCTGCAGCCCAGCTGTCATGGGGACCCCAGCATCCTTCACTCAACTCCCCCGGCACCTTTTTGAGCAGCATCGCACAAATTCAGGCCCCCATAGGAGACAGTTCAGACATCCCCGTTTGGACAGGCCAGCCCCTGTCCTTGTTGCTAATCTCTTTCCTCTTCTCATCTGTCATTGCTCTTTTTATTGCTGTTTAGCTCAGCCTTTTGTTTCATCTCAGTCTATGCTTCCTTGGATTCTTCTCAGCCCTTTGCTCTCTGACTCCACCCCTTTCTTTTCTTTTAATCTCCCACCATTTGCTTGTTTCTCTGATTTCCACTCTCCCGGGTAGGTTTCCCTCTCTGTCTGATTCCAACAGGCTTTACTTTCTCCCCTTCTCTCCGCCATCCTTTTCCCCTGATTCCTTTTCCCTTAGCCTCCGCCTGAGTACTCTGCGTAGCAATGGGGTAGAAGCAGATGCTGTCTCCTGGCTGGAGGATGGGGTGGGCCAGAAGTCAGGGGTTCAGATGACACATACGAGAGCCAGCGGAGGAGCTGGGCATGACGGAGCCTTGCTTTCTGATGGTGTCACCTGCGCCAGGGATGTGCAGAAGCGGTTGGACCTCAGCGACTCTGAATCATCCCTTGGGATGTTCTCTTTTCCCGGCCTTGTCCTTCCTCTTCCTTTATTAATTCTCACTTGTCTCCTTTCACCCTCCACCCTCTCATCCCAAGTGCATTACAAAAACGTCCCTGACTCTCCACTTAGCTCAGATCATTCATTCTCAGAGGCCAAGGACCCAAGGGGCTCTTTGCTGAGGAGTGTGTGGGGCCGTCCTCTCCTGGAGTTGTGCGGCCCCCCCGGGAGTCCGCCCTCAGGTAACAGGGCACCCCTGCTCCTTCAGTGTGCGGTGCTCATGTCCGTGCTCTCATGTGCAGATGCCTCCTTAGGAGCTGCAGCTGAACAAGCTCCTCTCCCCAGCACCCCTCCACAGCTGTCATCTGCGCCTCTTCAGCCGGCCCTTGCCCTGCCCCTGCTGCGTTGACTTGGTTTCCTGTGTTCCTTTAGGGAGCTTTTCTGTGTTCCTTTAGGGAGCTCCATCTTCCTGCCCTGCCTCTGCTGGGCTGCTTAGAATCTGCCCTTCAGGCAGGATCCCTCTCCCCTTCTCAGCTTTGCTGGCTGGCCCTCTATAACCTCTCTCTGGATCCTAGGGTCAGCGCTCCAGCCATTCTGGTATCTGAGGCTCATTCATTTCACCGGAAGTCCTTCAGAGAGGTAAAGGCATTGTAATGCCCAGCCCTGGGGATGCTTAGGAAACCCCTGGCTGGAGTCAGAGCGGTGAGGCCCAGTGCCCTGCAGAATCGCTGACAGTGGCAAGAGCGTTCAGGCCCACTGGAGCAGCCTGGGTCTGGCAGGAAAGGAAGCCCAGCCACCACCCAGCCCAGGCCCCAGCCTCCCCCTTCACCTGCTGCCTCTCTGCAGAAGACAAAGCGTTTCCTTTTACATCGCTAGCCAGAGAGGAGCCATTGCCATGATGACAAACATGCTTGGTCTAAAGAGTGAGTCATGCGGAGGCAAGTGGCTGGACCCCAGGGACACGGGGAGAGGCCGTGGCAGGAGGGTGTCAGGTGCAGAGTGGGGTTTGAAGGGCTGTGCCATCTACAGGTACCCTGAGTCCTCCCAGGCCTGATTGTATGTACTCCTCCTTATCCCCAGTGCTCCAGTCTACCACCCCAGTCTTAATCAGGGCCCTCCAATCAAGGGAGCTGTCCCAGTAGACGTGAGATGGAGGGAAAAGCAGCAATAGGATTTTACCTTCAGCAGGAAGCCAAGGGCAGAGTTGAGGGGCAGCCTGGCTAGGGCCGTTGGGGCAGGAGGGGTGAAATTTACTCCCCCCCAGCCCCCAACGGGGCATAAGGTCACGGGGGCTTCTTTCCTTGGCCTCCTGGGGCATTCCTGCGGGCAGTCTTCTCTATGGCAGCCCAGGAAGGAGCATTTCTGAGATCAGAGCACAGGAGCCCAAACCCTGGCAGCTGCCTGAGACTTAGCACCCTGCTTGCCTGAAGCACCTGCAGTTAGGGCTGCAGCTTTGTGGAGGAGAGGGAGGGATAGTGCCAAGCCTGGAGAGTGGCTGGCGTAAGCGAGAGAGCAAAAAAACAAAGGTTTGTAGGAATGGAATTCAGGGTGTTGGGGGTGGGCAGTGGAGAGGGTAGGAGACCTGTCTGGCACCTGGCCTTGCCCCAGGACTGACGATGCTCCTCCACCTCTGTCTGTCTCCCCTCTGTATTTACTCCCAACTTGAAGGGTCTTCCTGGCTCCCATCCTGAGTTTTTCAGATGAGCCCCCAGCCCAGCCCAGCCCTACCCCTTCTCTACCCTTCTGCATAGCCCCCATGTCTGTCTCAGTCTCCCTTTCCCTCCTTTGCTCAGTTACCTCCTCGTCTCCAGTCCCACATCTGGCTTCTGCCTATCCAGATTTGGCTGGAAAGTCAGAGTTTCCTGTGTGGATCTTAACTGGTTTCTTCCTAGGTGAGATCAATGCTCCACTGAAATCCATCTGTTTTCTCCTGAGCTCCTCCACCCCCTCCTTCTCGCCGTCCCTGGGAAGAGGGTACCACTTGGTCCCAGCTCCTGATGTTTGCCGTAGAGTTAATGTTTAGCCCAGGGTCAATTCCTTCTCTGCTGACTCTCACCCAGCCCTGCCCAGCCCTTGGTGTGGGTGTGGGGGAGACAAAGGCTTCTGCGTAGGGGGCTCATCTCCCAGGGCTTTATCTCACAGGGCGTTTCCTGTCTCTGTCTCACCCCTTATAGCCCAGGCAGCCACTTGGCCTGTAGCAATACTCAGATGTTTTCGGGTAGTTACTGTAAGGATCCAGAGTCTCTTGGAGCTACCTACAGCTTACATACGGGGTCTGGTGTCACCCCAAGGGAGGCATTCTGGTCACCTTGGAAAATGGACTTGCTACGTTTGCCTGCCACACTGCTCAGGATAGGGCTGACATGCAGGGTGAAGAGAAGCTCGCACGTGTGCTGGAGAGAGTGTTGGCCGCGACCAGGCACTGACACGCCAAACATATGGAATCAGGGATCTTTGTGTGTACATGTAAGATGCAGTGTCAACAGGCATCCTTTGAGAGGTAGATGAGGAATGCATTGACTTGGTAAATACTTTCTTAGCACCTGATACAGTATCCCTTATCCAAAATTTTTGGGATCAGATGTGTTTTGGATTTGTGAATTTTTTTTGATTTTGGAATATTTACATATATATATACACATATACACACACACACACATATATATATATAAAATGAGATATCTTGGATCCCAAATCTAAACACCAGATTTATTTCCTATATCACTTATACATATAGCCTGAGGATGATTTTATATAATATTTTAAATAATTTTATGCACCAAGAAACGTGCTGACTGTGTTTTGGCCGGGGCGTGTCACCTGAGCAGCCTGTCACGTGAGGTCAGCTGTGGAATCTTCTGCTTGCGGCATCATGTTGGGGCTCGAAAGGTTTCACGTTTTCAGATTAGGGATGCTCAGCCTGTATTTGCAACACATCACGGCAAGTGCAGGAGAAGATATGAACCTGTTTGAGGCATGGATCCTTCCTGGAGAAGGCATCCTTCTGTTAGAGTGAGACATGCTACACCACGAATGGAGAGCCGCATCTGCATCCACGGGGTGTCCATCTAGAGAGGATTGTAGGAGTTTGTTAGGGGAGTGTTTGCGGGAGGAGTCAGACTCTTCTACTTTCTCCAACACTGTTTACCTGGGAGAATCCAGGTTCCTCTGAATTAGCATCTTTGGAATCTACTTTTTTTTTTCTTTTAAGAGTCTTTCTCTGCTGCCCAGACTGGAGTGCAGTGGTGCGATCTCGGCTCACTGCAACCTCCACCTCCGAGGTTCGAGCCATTCTCCTGCCTCAGCCTCCTGAGTAGCTGGGATTACAGTCACCTGCCACCATATATGGCCAATTTATATATTTTATATATATATATATATTTGTAGTGGAAACAGGGTTTCACCATGTTGGCCACGCTGGTCTCACACTCCTGACCTCAAGTGATTGTCCCTCGTTGGCCTCCCAAAGTGCTGGGATTACAGGCATGAGCCACCGTGCCCAGCCTGGAATCTATACTTTTAAATGTGTTCACTGGGCCATTTTTAAGTAAAGTTTGGGGGCTGCTGTATTAAATTACCAAGACTCCTAAGACAAAAGCACCATTCCTCATCCTGTGCAGGCCATGACCCTCCTGGCAAGGTGGTTGAGCTGGGAAGGGTGAGGGGGCGGCCCCATTTGTTTCAGGGGTCTGACTTTTCCTGGGAATCCACATCTTCCCAGCCCCACTGCTGTCTCATCCCTGTCCCTAGCTTCTTGGTCTAGGGCCTTTCCTGCCCCGTTGGCCTGGCTTTCATTCCCCTGGATTTTGCTGCTTTGAGGACCAAAATCTGTGCTTTTAGTTTTGCTACTTTGCCCTTAAGATCTGACAATGTTTTTGGGCTTGATCCCCCTCTTGCTAATGCTGGAGGTTGTACAGGGTCCATGGGAAGGAAGAGGGTGCCTCAGACAGATCCCGAAGCTGTTGATCTCAGCTTCTCCGCCACCAGCATGTCTGAAACTGGGTCAGCAAAATCCCCAGGCTGCTAGTGCTGCTATGGGGAAGTTGGTGGATGGATGGGTTGGTGAGGTGTGAGAGTGTCTCCAGGAAGTCCTTGGTGACTTGAGTCTCACATTTCAGATTTCATCCTAACAGCGGTGCCCTGCTGCCTCCCCTCCCTACTCCACGCCTCCATGTGGAGCCCTGGCCAGCAACTTTCCATTGCAGGAAACATCTGCTGCGGAGGCCAGGCTCAGCTGGGGGTTACTGGAGGACGTTGGCCGGGACCATCACCCAGATCCTGTAACTTGAAGCATGTATAGGGCCCTGCTCTGCCCGCCCACCCGCTCTGCCTCCCTCCTTCCCTCCCTCCCTGCCACGGGTGACTCTAACAAAGGAGCTGTTTGCTGGTCAGGCGAGCAGAGCAGGGGCTGAGGAAGGGAGTGTGTGTTGGGCTGGAGGTGAGAGCAGGCCCTGTTGTTGCAGCCAGTGGTGGCTGCTCTGCCTGGGTGAGGGCTGTGAGTCATAGCCCAGTGCCCGCCCAGGGTAGAGGTTGATTAAACGTGCCACTCTATGAGACAGACGAGGACTGGGGAGCTGGGCATTCGGTTCCTTTACTGGAGTTTCAGACCAACTATGAGTCACGCTGCTGCGTGTGAGTGACTGGCGGGGCTAGACCCCGGACCCGGCTGTGGATCGTCGCTGTCCTGCAGAGTCTGCTTGTCTACCCAGGGGCCTGCCTTCCAGACCTCCAGCTGGCCCTGGGCACCTGCTGTGCCATCTGCATCCTCTGGACCCTTGGGGTGACTGTCTGCACTGACCAGGGGGAGGTGCATGACCATACCACCTCTGGGCTACTCTCCACCCGTGGACCAGCCAAGAAGGACAAAGCAGAGCCTGCCATGGGAGACTGGCCAGCCAGCTTGCCCTGAGAACCGCACCGACCACCTCCTCTAGCTTGTGAAGTTTTACGCTGGGCACGTAGCTCTAGGAGCAGAAAGGACACCTGTCAGAGTCACACAGGCCCTCTGCCAAGAAACCAGAGGCCACCCATCCACAGTCAAGCCAGGGGAGACCGACTGTTTTCATCGTGTGGGGACAGTCGGGAGTCAGTGCTGAGGGAGCCAGGCGTCGTTGGGAGGGGCAGCCGTGCTGGGCAATGGAATCACTGACGGAGTCGGGGGTCCTCTGGAGTCTCCTGCTGGAGCAGGAGAGCCAGCTGCTGCAGTGGTACCTGAAGCAGCTTGGCCATGCACCTGCTGCCGCCGATCACCATTGCTGGCACGGATCTGAGGAAATCCCAGCCGTGAGTGTGTGACCCAGTTTCTGAGTCTCTGGTAGTTCTGCACCACTTGGCTCTCCTACCCGAAGGCCCCAGATTTGACAATCTTGGAACCAAAATTATTTGACCATTTTAAATTGAACTAGGTGAGCCAGGTCCCACCTTTGGGGTTGCAGGAGGGAGAGGGCTGGGGTTTCTGGCTTCGAGAGGCTGCGTGGTGGCAGGCCCAGCATGACCACCTGGTGTGCCTGCCATCCACACCACAGCCCTGTGGAATAGGCATGTGTTGGTTGGATAAAGGAGTCTCCAGACTGGCTGACTTAGCAGGCCAGGGCTGGATTCACCCTCCCCTCTCCCTGCTGCTGCTACAGCTTTGTTTTAAGGAAAGTAGGGGCCCCCTGAATTTGCCTGCGGGTTGGAGACTGTGGTCAAATGCCCTGTACCTCCACTTCTGTGGATACCTCAGCTGTCCCTGGATCTACGAGAACCAAGGGGGAGAAGGCACCAGGACAGAAGATTAGAAATAGGAAGACTTGGGGCTTCAGGGGGTTGGAGGTCTGACATCCAGTTTCACCTGAAGTGTGTTTGGAGTCTCCCGGTCGGCTGCTCCTCAGGCTGACGCTGGAACTTTGTAAATACGAAGACCCAGTAGAGGGCTTGGAAGGCTAGTGGGGGCCCCAAAGCAGGTGAACATCTCATTCTCAAGGGAGTGCGCTTTTGGGGAAGCCGTTCTGCTTCCTCTTGGCAGGGGGACCAGGAGCAGGTACCCTCCAGAGGCAGCACAGAGCGGGGTCTCAGAGAGCACTGAGTCAGACTGCCTCGCTCCTATTCCACTCCCAAGTTGCTTAACTTTACTGTTTCTCAATTTCCTCAAGTGCAAAATGGGAGAATAAAAATAATCTGGGGTCTGATGCAATGACCCACGCACAGGGCTTGTGGCTGTGCTTGGCACGTGATAATAACTCCATGTGAACCGCACAGCAGCTCGAGAAGGCCAGTTAGGCATAATGAGAACTCGCTGGCGATCAGGTGGTCACGCTGGGGTTTTCAGTGTGTGGACTCTGTTCTAAGAGGCAAGGGGGCCATCTAGATTCCATATCTCAGTACCAGTTTGAAACTAATCCATGGGCCAGAGGAATGTTGTTTTCTAAGGTTTTGTTTTGTAGCCATAGGCTACACCCTAGGCTGAGGGTCAGCAGCGCTGTCTCTGAGTAGGTGGTCAGCGCATCGCAGGTGGAGTGCGGGTGTCTCCCTGTGACTGTGCGTGGCTTGTCCCGGGTTGTGCAGTTGCTTTCATCTGTCATCCCTGGTGCTCCTCCTTTATGGGCACATATTTTCTTTTTAGTTTCTTTTTTATTCTTTATTTTTTAAATGTAAGATTGTAAGCCCTCGGGTCGGGTGCGGTGGCTCACTCCTGTAATCCCAGCACTTTGGGAGGCTGAGGTGGGTGGATCACTTGAGGTCAGGAGTTTGAGACCAGCCTGGCCAATATGTTGAAACCCTGTCTCTAGTAAAAATACAAAAATTAGCCAGACGAGGTGGCGCATACCTGTAGTCCCAGCTACTTAGGAGACTGAGGCAGGAGAATGGCTTGAACCCAGGGGGCAGAGGTTGCAGTGAGCCAAGATCATACCACTGCACTCCAGCCTGGGCGACAGAGCGTGACTGTCTAAACAAACCAATAAACAAACAAACAAGATTGTAAGCCCTCAAAGGGCAGGATTTCTGTGTGTTCATCTGGCTCATGGGATTTCCAAGGGGGATTTGCTAAGGCAGTTTCTGGGCATGAGCCTCTTTGAAAGGCTGGGAGGAAGGTGAGCACAGGACCGGGGTCATGAGATCTGACACTGACCAGCTGAGGAGCTGGAGCAGGGGGCTTCTCTCTGGCCCTGGTGTCTTCCTCAATGCTGTAAGGATTGGATTAGATAATGTAAGGATGGAGAGGGGAATTGGATGCCTCTCCTGTGCCAGTTGTGTTTTTAGTTCTCTACCTGTGTGCTTATTGCAGTAGTGGTTTTATGTTTTATGTGATTTCTTAGAAAATCGTGTCTTTTCCACACAGCCAAGTGCTCACTCTGATAGTCATGACAGCACCTTCTTCTGAGAGGTGCTCTGGGCAACATCATGGGGGGCTGGGCAGCCTTCTTGGGTCCCTGCTTCACTGTCAAGGTGGTGTTGACAGAAGGCAGAACAGCAGTAGCTGGCATGGTGGATCCCAGGAAGCACCCTGGAGGTGTCCCTCCTTCCTTTCTCTTATCGGGATATAATGAGAGCCCTCCTTGCTGTGTCTGGCATTTTCTCATTGGTGGAGGCCCTAGCTGCAAAGTGTTTCCCAGCACCAGATTCTCCCCACTGTGTTTCTCCACACCGAGCCCCGTTCCTCAGCCTGGCCTCCTAGGGTCTGTAGGAGGGCAGAGCCTCATCTTTGCTTTTTAAACACACAAGCAAGTGCTCCTCCTCTTGCCCTTCCTTGCTAACCCCACAGAACCGGGGTGCGTGTGCTAACCTTGGCCATTGTCATGCAGGTGTTAAGCCCCACCTACAAGCAGAGAAATGAAGACTTCAGAAAGCTCTTTAAGCAGCTTCCAGACACGGAGCGCCTCATTGTTGGTGAGTTGGGTGACCTGGGAGGGGATGGGGAGGAAATCTGGGGAGCCCCCGGCGTAGCACTCAGGGTGCTTCTGTCTAGAGCCCTCAAGCCAACCCAAGTAAGCAAGGGAACAGGGAGAGAGGCTGTCCAGAGCCCTGGACCCAGCTGTCAGGGCTCGAGGCTGAGTACCAGGCTTGTGGCAGCCTCGAGAGCCCAATCTGGAGTGAGTCACTGGCACTTTTATCTCTGCAGATGGCCCGGTGGCAGAAGGGGTTAGCATAGTTGTGGATGGGGGAGGGAAGTTAGTTGAATTTTGTTGGTCTTTCCCACCTCTAGCTTCCTTGGCCCACTTTGCCATCACATTCATTTATCTGCCTCTAGGCAGTTGCACGTCACGCCACCTTTATGCTCCTCGTCATGAGATGGTAGGGACTTCCTTGGCTGCTAGTTCAAGTGCCTGGCACCCCTTGTCCATGGTGGGCGTTGGGCTCCCCCAGTGCTCATGGGAGGGATGACATGCCTACTCTGCAGTGGTTTGCTGAAAATGCTTCCTGCCTCTGAGCTCCCCTGTCTCCGCTCCTACCACAGATTACTCATGTGCACTCCAAAGAGACATTCTCCTTCAGGGCCGACTCTACCTCTCTGAAAATTGGATCTGCTTCTACAGCAACATCTTCCGCTGGGAAACTCTGGTAAAGACCTGGGCATGCTCCCCTGAGCCGTCTCCTTGGCTGTGGCTGAGCAAGCTGCCCTCGCTTTCTTCCTTTTGCTGACTTCATGCTCTTCCCAAGCCTTTGCGTAATTAACAAAAGCATGCCTGAGTCTTGAAAGATACTCAATTCTAAGTCCCAATAATAAGGTCTCCTCTGCCATGTTTTCCCCTTCCTCTCTCCCCTTTGGGTGTGGAAGAGAGGACTGGGAGCATTTGCTTTTGTCAAATGCAGGCAAATATTTGGCATGAGTGACTGCAGGAGGAGGTATAGTCAAGTAGAGAGGGCTTTGGCCTTGGGACTCTGAAGAACCGGCTTGCACAATTTCTGGGTTCTGCAACTAATTAGCAGCGTGATTTTAGGCTAGTCCTTTCTTTGCCTCTGTTTCCTCATCCCATACACTAAGGAAGAGAAAGATTAACTAGATATTTTTTTGTTTGTTTGTTTGTTTTAGACACAGTTTCACTCTTGTTGCCCAGGCTGGCGTGCAATGGCAGGATCTTGGCTCCCCGCAACCTCTATCCCCCAGCCCCTGAGTTCAAGCAATTCTCCTGCCTCAGCCTCCTGAGTAGGTGGGATTACAGGCATGCGCCACTACACCCAGCTAATTTTGTATTTTTTAAGTAGAGACGGGGTTTCTCCATGTTGATCAGGCTGGTCTTGAACTCCTGACCTCAGGTGATCCACCCACCTCAGCCTCCCAAAGTGCTGGGTGTACAGACATGAGCCACCATGCGTGACCTAACTAGATGATTTTTTATGGTCACATCCTACACCAGTATTCTGTGTTTCTGTAAGTGGCAAATAATGGCAGGACCTCTGCACATTTAGCAGACTATGGAGAAATTAGAAAGCTCCTTGCCCAAGAATCAAGATACTCATGGCTGTAGACAAGGCTCAGTCCCCACTTTGCTGTCTGCCCACTGTGAAATAAAGGAGTAAACCAGATGATCACCAATGTGGCCTCTTTCAGGGTTATAAATATGTGATCTGACTGTCCCTGTCTACACTGGCGCCCCCTGAACACCGTTTACCTGACTTCCTAATGCCCCCCTTTGCTTGTTACCCATTCTCTGTCCTCTTGGATGCCAGCTGACAGTCCGTTTGAAAGACATCTGTTCCATGACTAAAGAAAAAACAGCTCGCCTCATTCCCAATGCCATCCAAGTTTGCACTGATTCAGAAAAGGTAAGTGGAGTCTTACTCTGGCCTTTCTAATCCTCCCTTATACCCCCTACTCTTGTATTTCTGCCCTTTCTTGAATTGCATGAATATGGAGGCCAATAGGATTGGGATGAGAGGTGGTGGTGCTAAGGGTGGTACAGATTCCAGGAACCACCTCCTGGATGGACAGGCTTGGGGAGGCTGAGCAGGGGGAGGATGGAGTGGCCAGACATTGGACCTGGAGTCAAAATACCTGAATTTGAGTCCCTCGACTGTTAGCGTGTTGTGTAGTATGTTTGAGCCTAAGTTTTTTCACCTGCAAAATGGAGCCAGCAATACCTATTTAACACAGTCTTGAAATAATATCACATATCTGAAAACACTAAATTGTGAAGCAGTATGCAAATGTTAAGTAGTCATCATTATGTATGAGCTTAGCTGATTGTCTCTCGAGAGGATGGGGCATCAGATAGAAAATGGATTGTCCTTATCAGTATGGGGAGAATATGTCAGCTAAAATTCAGGACAGAGCAAACTTTTCGTTAGAGCCTGAAGATGAAGAGGTCCAAGGCTAGGGGTAGACTGGGTTTCTGCTGAAGGCCGAGTTTACAGTTTGGACTCAGGCAGTTTGGTGGCAAGAGCCAGGAGACTTTGGGGTCAGATAGTGTTGGTTTGACCTATATTTGTTTGTTTGGTTTTTAAAGTAGATTTATTAAAAAACAATTGAAGGCCTGAGTGTTGAGAAGCAAATGGGGCCTCTGGGGGTCCTTCCTGCAGCAGGCCTGACTTTCAGATGACGGTGCTTATAAGGCAGATCAGGGCCTTCCTGGGCTGCCCTAGTTCTTTCCATTTCAGATGCTAGGTTTGGATCCTGGGGCAGCTGCTCAACTCTACCCAACTCTACCATGGCTACCTGGGCTTGGAGAATATGTGAATATTAGCTACTTTTATAATCAAATAGGGATCTTGTAGAAGAAACAAGTAGACAGACCTATCAAAGTCTCTCATTCTGACCCAGCAAGCAGGTGAAGTGACTGTTGGTCCTAGTTCCATTGTATGTTGGACTGCAGGCCAATTCCAAACAGCCCAACTCCTTTTTTTTTGAGATGGAGCCTCACTGTATCGCCTAGGCTGGTCTCAAACTCCTAGGCTCAAAGATCCTCTAGCCTCAGCCTCCTAAGTAGCTGGGACTACAGTGCATGCCACCATGCCTTTTTTCTCTTTTTTCTTTTCTTTTTTTTTTAATGAGACAGGCTCTCACTATGTTACCTAGGCTGGTCTCAAGCAACCCTCCTGCCTCAGCCTCCCAAATAGCTGGGACTACAGGCACAAGCCACTGCACCCAGCTCCAACTCCTTTCTTTATGCAAATACAGAAGGCAAACCTTGGTGCCACACTTAGTCCTTCGTAGCAGTCCTGGCTCATCCTCCTAGTCTTTCCCTAGTGTTTGCATCAATGGCTAACTAAGCTGATGGCAGACCTCATCCTGGGGTAATACTCATTCAGGGAAGTAGCAATGAAGGAGGGTGGGGAAAGAGCTCAGGTCAGATTTACATAACATGATGTGTAGCATAACAGGTGCCCATTACATCTCAGCTACTTCTAAAGTTGATCAGAAAGAGGTATGGAGGCATTAAGACCTGAAGCACTGAGTTGGTCCATAACCCTGGGCTTCAGAACGAGGTCTGGTTTTATTTTCTGGCAGAATCTTTTTAAATATAAAACAGATAAAACACATCTCAAACCTGCAATCTGCCAGCATGCTTTGTTTCTATAAGATGCATGCTAGACCATGAAACTATGTAGCAAAAGGTCTTTAAGAAGATTTGGTTGGGAGAAATAGAACAAGCAGATCTTAGGGAAGCCTGGGCTAGTCCTAAAGCTGAGCTACATCCCTGAACACTAGAGGAGTCCTTGTCTTTTCAGGTCCTCATATGTCTTTTTATTCCCAACATTCCCACTTGAGTCTTCATATTCTTCCTCAGCGTCAGGCTGCCATCGTTCTGACGCCTTCTGCAGTTTCCATTTGGCCCACAGGGAGGCAGCCTCTTCAATCTGTGTCACCTTAGCAAAGTGAGTGGTGTTCGGGATGCCCAAACACCTCATACCATGAGCCTGACGACATTCAGCAAAGGGCCGCTGGAAGCTTTGGGTCCTCGGCAGGTGTAGTTTCCACAGTTCTCACAGTCGTAGTTGGTATTTAGGCCATGAAGCTTATACGGCCAGTAGGGAATGGGTTTCCCATCCCAGCCAAGTGGCAGGTTTTTTGGGTTTGTAAATGATCTCGTTCTCTTCATCTTCACTCTCACTCTCGCTGATTTGCTCTTCTTCCTCTTCTCACTCTTCTCCTGTCCTTTCTTGCTTGCATTGTACATTTTCATGAGTGAGATGTCACTGTTCCCCGAGAATCTCTACGTATTCATAGATCTTTGTAGATCTGGGCTTCTAGAAAAGCAATGTCTTTGTTCCTCTCAGCGTCTCACTTGGTGCCCTTTGACTTGGGATTTTTGGCAAACAAAGAGTTATCAAGTGACTCCAGGGACTTTCCTTTGGTGCTGAATAGTCTCTGGGCTCACTCTTCTGGGGTCCTGCCACATTTCAGTCCCAAATCTAAGAGAGCAGATTTCAATCTGTCCACACCCAGAGAGGGCAACTCCTCCCCAGAGGAGAGTGCAGAGAGGTCAAGATGGGCTCCAGCGTGCGTCCGGGCACTGCTTGTCTCTTTTGGCCGTCCAGGAAAGATCCCATTCTCCCATTTCTTCTCAAATTCAGCCTGAATCTTCCCAGAAAGTTCACTCTGATCTTGGAGAGGCTTCACTCTGTGTAATCCTGAAGGTACTCAAGCAGCATCTCTGGGTATCTCTTAACGCTCTGCATTCTTCCTGACTTTAGGAATGTCAAATAATTGGTCTAAAATGGATAGGTGTGTGATATAATCCAGCTTCTCAGATGCCTTCAGGTTAATGTACTTGAGGTAACACTCATGGAGATCGAGGTAATGACCACATCCCTCTTCATCTGTGAACTCCACCCAGTTTTGTGCCTCTTCACTTGGATTCTCTCGAGCCTTCAGGAGCTCCTCAGATTCCACTGACATTGGCACATAGATCTCATTCGGGTGCTTCTGGTGGAATTCCTTTATTTGTTTGAGTCTGTTATAGAAATCAGCAAACTCACGGGGTCCTGAAATGTCATTGAGCTCCTCCTTTCGTAATCCATCCTTATCATACAAATCCCTCAGGTTCCCACTGACCTCCATATACCTATCTTGCATGGCCCGAGTGCAGTGATCAGAATTGATCTGGTCCCAGAACATGAACTTCTTAGTGAGCATCTCTCTGGCCATGATGTCCATGAGCCATTCCTTCTCCTCACGATAGCGCCGCTGCTGCTCCAGTATTGTCTCCATCTTCCCTTCACCATGGCCTCTCGTTGTTTTTTGAGGCACAGTCTCGCTCTGTCACCCAGGCTGGAGTGCAGTAGTGCTATCTTGGCTCACTACAACCTCCACCTTCTGGGTTCGAGCGATTCTTGTGCCTCAGCCTCCTGAATAGCTAGGATTGCAGGCGCCCGCCACCACACCTGATTAATTTTTGTATTTTTAGTAGAGGCCGGGTTTCACCATGTTGACCAGGCTGATCTCGAACTCCTGACCTCAGGTGATCCATCCACCTCAGTCTCCCAAAGTGCTGGGATTACAGGCGTGAGCCACAGTGCCCTGCCCAGTTCAACCTATGTTTTGGACACTAACCAGCTTCTTGATTATACAAGTTGCCTAACCTCCACCAGCCTGTTACCCTTTATTAGTTGTTAGCTTTGTTTATTATCTAAGCCTTTTTGTGTGGTTTAAATGAAATAGCATTTGTGAACCACCTTGTGGTTGGTCAGTGAAATCTTCATTACTTTCTTTCTGTCTGTTTAATGGGTAAACTCCACAAGAGCGGGATCTTTCTGTGTTGTTTCTTGTCCCTCACACATGTAGATTAGTGCGTAACACATACTAATATTCAAACATTGGTTGAATGAATGAAATAGGTCAGCGGATCAGTAGGTTGTGGGTTTGTCTTGTCCTTCCATTTAGGCTAGTTCATAGCTCACCGCTTACCCGGTTCCAGTAGGTAGGTGAGGGACATTTCTTATGGAGATGAGAATTTCAAAACAGGGAGAAAAGCACTGAGGAAAGTGTGGGTAAGAATGGAAGGACTTTGTCACACTGGGAACTTAATAGTACCAGGTACCCAGGCCTCTGGTGTGCTGACCCCGTCTCTGAAGTGGATGTGCATGATCACAGGTAACTGAGAGTCATTAGTGTTTGAGGATGAAGTCAGTATCTTTTCTTAAGGGAAGGAGGACCATGTCTCTCTTAATTATATTGTAATTCAACAGATATTGTTATTTTCTTTTCCAATCTAGCACTTCTTCACTTCGTTTGGGGCCCGGGATAGGACGTATATGATGATGTTCCGGCTCTGGCAAAATGCTCTCCTTGAAAAGGTAAGTACTGCCGAGTTTGCTTTTACTGTGGGACTGGCTATCTCTGGAGAAGCCCGTGTCTCCTCAGGGTTCTGGGAATCCCCCACTGATAGTATTCTCCTACTGATAGTGTTGACCTGAGTCCTGAAAGTTACATGTCATCTGCCATGAATGGCCTCAACACCTCCAGGAGTAAGGCACTCATTATCTTCAGGCACTTCGGTTCCACTGCTTTGAAATGTCCCAGGATTTTCTCTAATCAGTTATGGTAATGCATGCAGCCATGCAGAAAGAAGTCCTTAAATTCACAGACCCCCAGAAATAGGAGGCACAGCAGGATGAGGGCCACCAGGGAAGCCCCAGGGTTGGTCAGGAGATAGAACGGGAAAGGGGAAGAAGTGGGCAGAGCCTTTAGTGTAGTTTTGCAGGAAGGAGCCGGGGAGGCAGGGCAAGCAGGCCAAGCAGGTCTAGGATTGGCTAGTTTGAATTATTTCAGCAGGCTGCAGGTGCCTCAAGTTGCCTGGAAGCTCAGACGCTATAATAGATAATGGGGAGGGTGGGAATATGAATTTTGGATGGGCTGGCTGCGTGTGAAAGGCCCACTCCTGGATGAGTTATTTCCTCTCTCTAGGAGTTAGCTAACCCTGATGGGTCCCTCCCCAGTCAGCAAGGCCCCAGCTGCCACAACATAAAGTACAAAAAATGTAGTTAACACAGCCACCACGAATTGACTAGTTGAGTGTTTAAACGAAACTATGAAGAGACACAGTAGAAGGCACCCCTTCATGCGGTGAGCTGTGATTGCACCACTGCATTCCAGCCTGGATGACAGAGCAAGACCTGTTTCAATTAAAAAAAAAAAAAAGGTCCCACTCAGATGCAGCTGGATGTTGAGAAACTGTCTCCAAGCCAGAGAAAGAAATATAGGAGAAAACGCACACACACCCACACGCACACATATAATGTTTCCCCCAGGATTAATTTTTATGTGTGTGTATTTATGTGTGTGTGTGTGTGTGTGTGTATATATATATATATGATTGACGTGTGTATTTAAATATGTACATATATTGGCCTTGATTCTGGCCCAACCAAAAGACTGCGTAAGAAAATTGCGTGGATTTATTATTTGGAGTTTCTTCTATTCTGAGAGTCTGTACCCGTAGTATCACTCCTGGTAACTTATTTGAGCTGCGGTCCTCTGCCTTCACTCGCCATCAGTAATGGTAAAATGACCATGTGTTTTAGTCTCCACTGGCAGATTTGAGTTTTCAGCTCACAGCTGCTGTCGTTTTTAAATAAGACACGGGGTCATTCCTATGCTTCGCAAGTGCCCTCACAAATAATTGTAGGACTTGGGCCTGCTGAAGAGGGTCTGCTAACTGTGCTTGTCCTGATCGTGGCTGGCCAAGGCAAGCCGGGTGGCATTGGTCAGGGAAGGCTGCAGAGAGCAGGCAAAGAGTGGAGCAGGGCAGGACATGGTTTGGCAGAGAGGCAGAAGTGTCCCAGGCAGGGTGAATGTTGTCCCAGGCAGGGTGAATGTTGCGCATAAAGGCCAGAGATAGGAGGGAGAGGTCCAGGAGAGAAGGAGGTGATACCTCCCTCAGGCACTATGAGGGCCAGCATAGAGAGCTGCCACCCCCAACCCCGCCGGCCTAGAGGCAGGCCCCAATTCTGCCATTCCAAGCACTTTAGTCAGAAAGCTGGAATCCTAGGTCAATATACTCTGCTGCCTGCCTGCATCTTAAACCGAACCTGAAACCGTGGGCTTGGGAGCTCTCAATTTCTTTAGGAAGTCTATTGGTGCAAAACGTTTTTGAAATGGGATTTTTTTTTTTTTTTAAGATAATGATTGCTTCTGTTTTTCTTCGTGCCCTTGCCCTCTCTTCCACACACTTATCTCTGCCACCTTCTCCCCTTCCTCCCAGTCTGAGACTCTTTCACGGTCTCTGCCTCTGATCTTAGTTCTTTGACATCCCGTTGCCTCTCTTGGAGACTCTGAACCCACTGAGAACAAACTTTTCTTAGGGCAGTGTTTTTTGGGAGGGCACATAGGCACCCAGTGAAATAAGAAAACACTGGAACTAACGCTTAGAACTGCAGGCAAACAGATTCCACCTCAGGTTGGGTGTCACGAGGTTAGGTGAGATGACCTGTAAGGTTCCTAAAACTGTGGGAACGTAAGACTCTACCCAAAGGAACTGTCCAGCTGTGGAATGGGCCACCTTTGAGGGTGAACCTTATTCTTGGAAGTGATCCAGTAGGGTCTGTAAGGCCACAGTTAATACAAGAGGAGATTTGTGCAGTGTGGTGGGGCTCTGGGTCAGTGGACCTCTGGGCATTCATTCAGAGTGCTAATCAGAAGCTCTGGGATCGCCTTGGCCCCAGAGTCACATGGGTTTATGCCACTCAGTGCTGGACCTTTTCCATTGGAGCAAAAGGTGAGACAGTTACCCCCCTGGGAGCCAGTTGGTCACGTTCTACAAACCTCTGTTGAGGGATCGGGCACTGAAAGGCCAGTTCCTGGTTTTGTTGAAGTCCACATTCCTAGGCAGCAGACTGGTGTCCTGCTGAGACCCCCAAGGCAGACGAGGGTGGTTGCTGGCCTCTCTTTCAGCTAAGGAGAGAGGAGTTCCTCCTCTCCAGGGGAACCAGCCAGGCTCAGTGCCTCTGTGCAGAGTGGGGGACCTGAGGAGGAAGGCTCAGTCGTTCCTTTTCTCCCCTGAAGCCTCTGTGTCCCAAGGAGCTCTGGCACTTTGTTCACCAGTGCTATGGGAACGAACTGGGCCTGACCAGTGATGACGAGGACTACGTGCCCCCTGATGACGACTTCAACACAATGGGGTGAGTGAGGCCGAGGGCGGCTGCCCAGAGCAGCCATGCAAATGCCTGCAGGAAGAACCTGCCAGGCAGAGGGAACAGCACGCATGCCTGTGCAGCCCTGGAATGAACCACGGAACGAACGAGGGAAAGTGGTCACAGGTCAGGGAGCTCGAGAGGGCAGAGCCCAAGGGCCTGGCCGACTTTGTGGTTGGCTTTTACTAAAAGTGGGATGGGAAAGTTTGGCCTAGGTAATTGCTAAGTTCTGATTTAACATTCCAGCAGGATCACTCTGGCCTCTGCACTGAGAATACATTGAAGGGGAACCAGGGCAGAGGCAGGGAAACCCGTTAAGAGGCTGTGGAGTAATTTAGGTAGTTAGATGAGGGATGGTGATGGTTTGGAGGAGAAATGGCAATAAGTGTTTAGTTCCTGAATAGATTTTGAAGGATAGGTTGATGGAACAGAAAAGAACCAAAGGTAGCTTTTAGATTTTTTTGGTTTTGCTGCCTAGAAGGATGGCGTTGTTCCAGACGGAGATGGACAGAACTGTAGGCAGAGCAGGTTTCAGGGGGAAGATCAGGAGGGCAGTTTTAGGCAAGTTGAGATTGAGATGCCTGTTCACCAAATGGAGATGTCAAGTGGGCATTTAGGTATGGAGTGTGAAGGTCACAGGGAAGCCTGGGCTGAGGCCATAAACGCAGCAATTATTGGTGGATAGTCATGAGATTAGCTGAAATTTCAAGTGACTCGGTGAACATAAAAAGAAGTTCAAGGACTGCCTGGGAGCACTCAACGAGGGGAAGGAGCAGCTGAAGAGAGCTTGAAAGCACATGCAGGCTCTAGGAAGGTTTCCTATCCTGGGAGCCAAGGGAAGGAAGTGAAGCAGAAGGTATTGTCACTGTGTCACATGCTGTCGATAGGTTAAGGAGGACGGGAAGATGTGCCCGTAGACTGGCACAAAGCATGCTTGAGAGTGGAAGGGTAGCTAGCTGCAGGCTTGGTGGTGGTGCCAGAGGCATACAGGGAAGAAAGCAAGAAAAGAGCATTGAATGTCTATTGTGCTTAGGTCTGGGCTCAGTCGAAATAATAGTCTTGTCGCTTAACCTCTATGAATACCTATTTGGTTATCTCTAAAACGCACATAATGATTTCCAGAGAGTTGTCAAGCATCTGGATTTGTTAAGTACAGGTCAGATGAGGATGATGATGATAGGGTGATGATTGCTGTCTTGGAGGAAGCTACGGCAGCATCCCTGAAGTGTTCCTAGACGGGCACCCACCTTCATCTCACGGAGGTTTTCTTTCTAAGTGTGTAATGCAGGGAAGTTTTCTAGGTATCATCCAGAATTTGGCAATGCCACTGAAGGAGCGCTCGTGTCCAGAGTCCTGTCTTAGTCACTGTTTGGGAAATGAAATGCATGCTCAGAACCCAGATATTTGATTCAGAGGCTTAAAATGGAATGGGCACCCACGGGAAAAAATAGCTTCAGACAAATAATCCTTTCATTGAGGTAGGGATAACTCTAAGGAGGCTGCCTAGAAAAGGTGAGTTCACAGCCAGAAATTTTACAAGGGAGGGGTGGGGTGGGATGTGAAGGAGATTTCAGGAGAGCAGTGGGGTAAGCGGGGGATTTTTGGTTAGAGGAAAATCATATACAAAGTGAAGAAGCAGGAAATCTCATAAATTTGGATGAATTGAAAGGTCTGAGATTCTTAGAATAGTTGTCCGTCTTGAACCACTGAGGTTAACGTGGACTCACTGGTGTCTTCTCTCAGATACTGTGAAGAGATCCCTGTGGAAGAGAATGAAGTGAATGACAGCTCATCCAAGAGCAGCATAGAGACCAAGCCAGATGCCAGTCCACAGCTGCCCAAGAAATCCATCACCAACAGCACACTGACATCCACAGGGAGCAGTGAGGCCCCCGTCTCGGTATGGGCAGTCAGCCTTTGGCTTCTACCCCCAGTCCTGTGGCTAGCATTTCCTAGCATAGTTCACTGGGAACCCAACATGGGGAGCAGGTAGAGAGGAGATTGGTTACATTGTGGTCAGTTTCCTCAAGGAGGCATTCTGGAGCAGATAGGCTCTCTGCATTCTAGTGGCGTAGCCCGGGGTCCAGAGCTAGGGCTAGGTGCCTGGGGTACAAGATTGGGTTTGACTTCTGAGCAGATGAAAACCGTTCAAGTCCGCTGTGTGGGCTTTGCTTTTGCTGGACTGCTGCTGATCAGCCCTTCTGGTAGAGAACAATCCCAGGTGTTTTTTCACTGCCTTGATCTGACGTCAAAGTCATGCATGAATATAGAACTGTAGAACAATTAATTGTTTATCCACTCATTTGGTTGATATTTATTGAGTATACGTATTGTGGCTTGTTTCTCCACTGTGGTAGACTTTGTGGAAGCCATAAAAATGTGTAAAAGGACCTCTGTCCTCTGGGACTCCGTTATAGAGGAGGTAGAACCTTGTTGAGGAAAGAGGGTCAGGGCGTGTGCTGGCAGGCAGAAGAACAGGTCGGGTTCTTCAGGAAAGGACTCTCTCCAAAGGGAACCTTGTATTTCAGTAGGCTGTGAGTCAGACCACCTGCCCTTAGAATGAAAACGTTATTCATTGGATGCCTGGTCTTTCTTTTCCATCTCTGAGGTTATCTTTAAAATGTAAAGAGTTGTATCGATTCCCTTCCAGGGCTAAGGAGAGAATGAGTTTTAAAAAATGCTTATGAAGCCTTTCGAGCTTCTTAGGATAAACGGGTACCACCTGGAGGCAGGCTGACCCTGTTGCAGGATGGTGCAGGTGCGGCTGCAGGAAAGGGCCTGGCCCTGTGGGGACCAGCTTGTTGTGCTGTTGGAATGGCGAGCATGAGAAGTGCAGTCAGTAGTCCTTGTACGGTGTTTGCCCATCCTCTGTGGCAGCTCGGGGAAAGGGCTTTGGAGCCTGACTCTGACTTCGCTCCTGAGCAGCTGAGCTGGGAGTATGAGAGCTGCCAAGGCCGGATCCCTAATCTCCTTTCGGAGAGTAGATCCAGACCAGGTTTCCCTGGTGGGTGACTCCTCTGTCTTGTCTGCAGTTTGATGGGCTGCCCCTGGAGGAGGAGGCACTGGAGGGAGACGGGTCCCTGGAGAAGGAGCTCGCCATTGACAACATCATGGGGGAGAAGATTGAGATGATCGCTCCTGTGAACTCCCCTTCACTGGACTTCAATGACAATGAGGACATCCCCACTGAGCTCAGTGACTCTTCCGACACACACGATGAAGGTGGGCATTTGAAAACGGGTCTGGAGTGGCCCTTTCTCTATTTTGAAGGCTAAAAGGAGATCTCTATGTGGGGACTGGAGTTACTCTCTAGGCTCCTGGTGGAAAGATGGGAGCAGAGCTTCCTTAACAAAAGGTACCTGTGTTATTAGTCTACATCCCTGTTTTCAGTTATTTGCTGTAGGAGCCTCTCATAGATAATGCTTTGTTCTGTCATTTAGTCTTGTCACTAAATTTACCCGCTGTTGACATTGGCTTGCCTTGTGGCCCCTACCCTCAGACATGCAAGGCTAGGCAATGTGTATAAGCCACAAGGAAGGCGCCAGTCAGCTGCTCCCTGGAAATAATTAGATTTTAACAGAAATGGCCTCAAGATAGTTGCAAAACTTGTTAATGCAAGTTTTGCAGCATGGAGTGTTTAGGCCCAGCTAGAAGAAAAGGTGTTGCTGAGTTAAATAGTGTTTGGAGACTCCCTTGTTTCTCTAGTTTTTGTAAGCAGGTAGCTTCTAACTTCATGCCTGCATAGGATTAGCTTCTAGGACTTCCCTTGGGCACATGCTGCGTCTTACCTTCCATGGAGAGAAGCCAAATTCTCAGCATTCAAGAAGTCAATTGATGGATTTCCTCCATTGAATGAGTGGTCTGTTATGACTAGTGAACGTATGAACACAGTGCTCCCTTGTGAATCTGTGGACACCCCTCCTAGGGGCCACCTGCAGTGGTTTTCTAACCTTTGGTTGGTTTACCCACCCCCATGTAGAGTCCAGGGTCGGCACAAATGACTGCATGGGTTGGGTACTGCCTAGTTCCAGGGTGCCATTCACATAAACGAAGGTGTGAATACCCCGTGTGCTGCGCTTGTGCGGTACCCATCTGTGCAGCCATAGGACTTGACCCTACAGGGTACTTCAGAGTTCTCTGGTTTCCTCAGGGTCCTAGGGGTGCCAGAAAGGTCAGCCTCCTCCTGAGATCACATACCCACCCACGCAGGTGCAGTAATTAGGGACTGAGGGGTGCCAAGGGCTCGAGTGGAGCACTGAGGCTTTAGCAGCTCACCTGTATCCTCAGATGCATTCTCCTGTAGCAGCTGGAAAATTCAGATTACAGGTGAAATTCCCTGGCTGGTGATCTTCTGTATGTGGACCATTGATGTGCCGGGAGGGCTCTGCATCCCTGAGACTGAAGGCAGCTCCACTTTTGGAGCCCTCCCACACCTTCTGTGTGCCTCTCATTCTGGTTTGAATTCTTATTTTGCTATATGATGAAGCTGTAATCCTAAGTTTAAAAGGGGGAGTGGGTTTTGACTTCATGGTAGAAATAGGCTGCCTTACAGAAGTGTAGTTAGGAATCATAGCCTATTGGGCCAGCCCCAGCCTTAGCAGCAGTTCTGTACACTGATACTTCCAGATTAGTCTACGTTCCCTCAAACACACCTATGCCATGGGTTACAACTACAATTTGTTGTTGATTGGAGTTGACTTACAGACTCTCAAAACCCCATTCTTTGGGTTTAGGCAACTTCGAGAAGTAGTCATTTATTTGAATTTTAGTCTAAAATCAACTGAATTAGGCAGGTTTGAAAGTGTAAAAGCAAATCGTACATTCCCAAACACTTTGTAGAGAAGAAATGGGCAGAGTGTCAACTAAAGGAAATGGTGTGCATCCCCCCAAAGGAAAGAGACTGAAGGCAAAGTCATAAACCGTGCCCATGAGCTCAGCTATCCTGCTCCGTGGTCTCTCCATACCCTTGGTGGCTGTGCCCATGTTAGCCAGAGACATAAGTTGGAGGATGTCCCTGGGGCCCCCTGCCCCTCTGCTGTCACTGTCTACTTCCTGACCCTCTCTTCTGTGCAGGGGAGGTCCAGGCCTTCTATGAGGACCTGAGTGGCCGGCAGTACGTGAATGAAGTCTTCAACTTCAGCGTGGACAAGCTCTATGACCTTCTCTTCACCAACTCACCCTTCCAGCGGGACTTCATGGAGCAGCGGCGCTTCTCTGGTCCGTTCTGCTGGGACTGTACCTCCCATTCCTCCCTCTTCGTGCTCTCTTCTTCCTTCTCTACGTTTGCTTCCTTCCCTTCCTTGTTCTTCTTCCCACACACCCTCCTTCCCTTGGCCATCTGAGGGCCCAGACACCCTCTCTCCAGCCTTCTGTGGTGTGGGAGCTCCCTCAGGCCCTGTTGCCCTCCCTTTTCACCAGCACTGCAGCTTCACCCTTGCCCACTGCACACCAGGCACTCGATGCCGGCCCCTAAGACCTGCCCTGTCCCTGCCCTCACAGGGCTCACCACCTAGCAAAGCACAGCGGCTCTCCCTCACTGGCAGCACCCACTCTATGCCATGTTTGTGACGTTATCTCATTCAGACCTCATAGCTACCCCATGTGTGGACACCGACGAGGCTGCTGGAACTCAAACTGTTAGTGCTTGCCTGACCTCATGCAGCTAAGAAGGAGCTAGGCCGGGCCTCACATCTGGGATCTGGAGGTTCATGCTTTGGCCCTCTGTGCTTCTGCCTCCTCCCCTTCCCTCAAACTCTTCCCACAGCAAGGACCTGTAAGCATCCAGCTGTTACAAAGCATTTGGGCATCAGCGATCCTGTGTGCCAAGAGGAGAGGGCACGGGGAGGTTATGGCTTAGAGGAGAGGACTTGTTCCCAAGGGACCCTAGGCCCTCGCCACAGTAACGCCAGTGTTGCCAGCACCCCCGTAGGTGGCCCCAAGACCTCCTGTCCCAGCCCCAGGAACAATCAGCATTCTGGAGCCTTGTGTAGAATTTTGACAATGCTACAATGAGCCTCTTTCTGCTTCGACTACTCCTTCTCTTCCCACCCTCCGCCCGGCCCTCGGGCTCCCACTGGCTTCCTTTTGGGGGCCAGGCAGTAGTAAGCACAGTCTAGAAGGTCACTTGGAGGGGAAACTCGGATTGGGGAGGGGGGCTCTGCCCTCCCTTCCTCATTCCAGGGCTCCCCTCTACCCTTAGATATCATCTTCCATCCATGGAAAAAGGAGGAGAACGGAAACCAGAGCCGAGTGATTCTTTACACCATCACCCTTACCAACCCTCTGGCTCCCAAAACTGCCACTGTCAGGGAGACACAGGTGAGCAGAGCCGGCAGATGCACAGAAGAGCGGGCTGGAAATTCCTGTGTTCTGTCTTGAAGGATTCAGGGCAGATGGCAGAAGGAGTTTCAGGGCACAAGTGTCATTTTGCCCCAAAGCAGTGGTGGCATCTTGCTTGTTTAGATGCTACTGATTCCAGTGATTTCAGTTCTCCTGTTCAGAAGTCGTGGGGTGGGGTGGGGTGGGCTGGGGGAGGCGGGAGAAGGTGCTTTTCCAAGCTTCTTGCTCCTCTTCAGTCTTGTCCGATGGACCTTTCCTACCCACAGACCATGTACAAGGCGAGCCAGGAGAGTGAATGTTACGTGATAGATGCCGAAGTCCTCACCCACGACGTGCCCTACCACGACTACTTCTACACAATCAACCGCTACACGCTCACCCGCGTGGCTCGCAACAAGAGCCGACTCAGGTGCGCTGTGTGCAGGGCGCCGGGCAGTCAGACGGGGGTCCTTACCTTAGAGAACGTTCGTTTGCTCCTGACGGGGAAGGCAGAGGTGGGGTGTGCTTGGCTGCTCACTCTCTTTATTCTGCTTTCTCTCCGAAGCCTTCGGAGGCTCACCCACCACCCTGTTCTGAAAGAGTTAATTGTTCTCTCCACTCTGTGCATCTTGCTAGTGGAGCTTGTGTAGCTACTGCTCTGTATTGGCTGTGTATGGCTCGTACAGTATAGTGTAGGCGCTTTACCTACCTTCGCCGGAGTCTTTAGAACGACTCGAAGAGGTGGATTTATCTTCATTTTTCAGATAAAACTGAGTTTCATATAAGTTAAGGAACTTTGCCAAGAGCCGTGTCTTTAGTAAGCACTGAAACCCGGATCTGAGAGTTGTAAACCTGTGCCCTGTCCACCATGCTGCGTGGATTGCCATTAGTGTTAGACCGTGAGCTCCACGAGGACAGGAATTCCATTCCACTCACACTTCCTTCCCAGCACCCAGCTGGGCCTGCACTTATCAGAGTCCAGAGAACACTGATTGAGTGAATAATTAGTTCTGGGCACTGTGATGTGCCTCCAAAGGAAGGAAGAAATTTCGACCCTGACATTTGAAGAAACTTGTAGTGTAATTGAAAAGGCAAGATACACACCCATTTGAAAATCACCAGACCGTTTACCTGTACCTTAGACCAAGTTTTCTTGGTTGTAAGGAGCCAAAAATTCACCTATGTAGTTCAAATAAATGTTTAGTAAAAGGTTGCACGGGGATCTCTTGGGCTTCAACAAGTGTGCATCAAGAAGGACCTTCGTGCTTCATGTCTATATTCTCACACTTTGGGAGGCTTAGGCAGGAGGGTTGCTTGAGCCCAGGAGTTCAAGACCAGCCTGGGCAACGTAGTGAGACCCTGTGTCTGCAAAAAATTGAAAGTTATCCAGGAGTGGTGGCATGTACTGTAGTCCCAGCTACTCAGGAGGCTGAGGTAGGAGGATCGTCTAAGCCCAGGAGTTTGAGGCTGCAATGAGCTATGATTGCACAGCTGCACTCCAGCCTGGGAGACAGAGTAAGACCCTATCTCTTAAAAAAGAGGGCCTGCATCTTTTTCATTCTCTCGGTTACTTTTTGGGGATTGAGTGTTCTGTGCTTCTTCCTGAACATGTACTCCTCCTTCAGCCTTCCTTCTCTTCCTCCTTCCTTCTTTTATTTTCCTTCCTTCTGTCTCCCTCCTATTCTTATCCTTTCCTCCACAGTGCCTAGGTATCTTAATTCCGGGTTCCTCAGAAGATCTTTCAATTGCGTCTTTTCTCTGCAGCCTTGCAGAGGTAGCTGGTTGACCTTGAACAGACCATTATAGGAAGGTGCCCATCCACGATGCAGTCAGTGGTTGTTGAGTTGGGGAATGAGGTGTCTCCAAGTACAGGCATTGTCCCATTGGGACATGGGCGGAGGTAGCATCCCTGAGGAGGAGGATGAGGGTGGGCTGGCAGCCTTAGTCACAGGGTGGGATGGGGTGGGATGGATTAGCTGGGAGAATATTGACAGATGCAGATGAACCTAAGGGGGGGTCAAAGAGCAGGGCTGCTGCATAGGAGAGAAAAGAGCTGATACTGCAGGGGGTATGGGCAGAAGTGCGACCAGCGACTGGGAGCGGGAATACTTGGAAAAGAGCAAGAGCCAGCGAAGTCTGGGGTGCAGTGGAGAGGCAGGAGCCAGGGCCAGCAGTAGGTGATACTCTTTTTTTCTTTTTTTTTTTTTTCAGAGACAGGATCTCACTCTCTTCCCCAGGTTGGAGTGCAGTGGTGTGATCATGGCTCACTGCAGCCTCAGCCTCAACTTCCCATTAGCTGGGATTACAGACAAGCCCCTGGCTAATTATTTTTATTTTTATTTTTGTAGAGATGGGGTCTCATTATGTTGCCCAGGGTGACTGATGCTTTTAAAGGTTAAAGTCATAAAACCCTAGAACTTGACTTAGACTTAAAAGTCTCTAGAGAAGGAGAGAAGGACCCTGATGAAAGGATGGGCCATCTTTCTTTCTTTCACTGTCAATTTCTCAAAAGACTTGAACCTCAGGCAGAGCCTCCCCTTGCCTGGCAGGCAGGCTGCTGGGCCCTATGTGAGACCCCTGAGAGGAGGCAGTGTGCCATCATAAGAGAACTCTGGAGTCAGAACCCTAGTTATTAGCCTTTGCTCTGCTTAAATATCCTATGCCTCAGTTTTCTCATCTATAAAATGGGGATAAATCCACCAGCTCCACTGAGCTCAGTGGGTGGTCCTGGAGATCAGATGATGTGATGGATGTGGAAAGACCTTTTAACTTACAAAGTTTAGTACAAATGTGAAGTGGCTTTGGCCTTAATCCCAAATTTCCCTTTTCCCAGCAGAGGCAGGTCCACCCAGGAAATGACTGATCTTGTCTGGCTTGCTCCTCAGGGTCTCCACAGAGCTGCGCTATCGAAAACAGCCCTGGGGGTTAGTGAAAACCTTCATCGAGAAGAACTTCTGGAGTGGGCTGGAGGACTACTTCCGCCATTTAGGTGAGCACTGCAATCCTTGCTGCTAGCTGGGCTGCAGAGACGATAAACTGCACTCCTGCTGCCCACCATTCAGGGGAATGGTATTGAGAACAGAGGCAGAGACTGAAAGGTGAAGTAGTTTCCTGAGGTACCCATGCCTGCTCCCGACGTGGACACCAAATTTGGCATGTGTGTGGACACGTGCATTTTTCAAGACTGTGTCTAGGATGTTTAGGAGATCTTTGAGGGATCTATAACACCCTTCACCCCAAAAGGAACCACAGACCTAGTGACTCTGTGACAAGAAGTATTTGTAAAATGCCTGTGAATGCATCTATTTAAGAAGTGTATGCCCCAAATTGTATACATGAGGGTGCAGATATTGGGAGCATATGGTTCCTTGCAATGCTGAACAACCCCAGAGGAGGGGTTTGACTGGGGCTGGGTCCCAGAAGTACCTCCTGAGGCTCATGGGCATCTCTGAGGGTCATCAACCCACCCACCCAACTTCCCAGAATACAGAATAGGAAAATGGTTCTGCAGAGAGTTGCATCTGGAGGGCTGAAGGTAGCCTGTCCTGTGGCCCGTTGTTCTCTGATAGAGAGCGAGCTGGCCAAAACGGAGAGCACTTACTTGGCTGAGATGCACCGACAATCTCCCAAAGAGAAGGCCAGCAAGACCACGACGGTGCGGAGGAGGAAGCGTCCCCATGCCCACCTGCGGGTCCCTCACCTGGAAGAGGTGATGAGCCCGGTCACCACGCCCACAGATGAGGATGTGGGCCACAGGATCAAACATGTGGCAGGTGTGTGCCAGGTGGGGACGGGTGGGGTGAACTGAGCTTTGGGCTGGAGCTGCATGCCCACACCAAGACATACACATGCACACTCATTTTGCGTCTTGGATATAATTTGTATATAATTTGAACTTAAGTCACTAAATCTGAGGCTCCCAATGCTCTGTTTCTCTTTGCTCTTTAAGTTCCTCAGCCCCAACTGAACCCATATGTGTGCTCTAATTAACAAAAGCTGCCTTAGTGTTTATGCTTTCGTGTTGCCCTAGTTCCATGGCTACCTGCATAGGCTCAAGTATGAAGCTTCCAAGTTCTTGGGAAATACACTAAGGAGATCCCACAGCTCAGACCACAGAGATTACCTCATTACACAAAGACCAGGGAGATCAAGACAGTCCCCCTTCACTTCACCCACATGGGCCAATCCAGACTTGCCCTCTCAGACCATGGACTCCCTTAATATTTCTTCCTCTTCCGCCCAGCCATTCTCATCCTTGTCTTTGCTGAATCCTGGAAACCTCGGACTCTAAGGGGCCTTAGAGACCAACTAATTGAGCTGGATAGGGACAGAGGAGGCAGAAGAAGAGGGGAGAGTGCCAGTCTTCTGCATGCCCCCTAGCTTCGCCCCTAGCACTTCCATGTTACATGTTTTGCCTTTAAGATTTCTGACTGACATTGCATTTGAGTAAACTGACTCTCAGAGAGCTTACATAACTTGTCCACCATCATGTAGCTTCCTAGGAATAGATCCAGAGCCAAAAGCCAGCCGTCTTTAGTCCTAGCCCAATGCCATGTCCCCTCCCGTAGCTGAAGATCACTTTGTCCTGGGCCTGTATATCCTGGCTATATGGGCCTGTTGATTTTCTCATTTGTTCAATGATTACCTGACCCAACCTATGACCTTGCCCTTGAGGATTTTGCCTTCTCCTCTTGGAGAGCTGGCAGTGTCTAGCATATCGTTGCTGTTGCAGTGTCATGGACATTTTTCCATCAGTCTTTGATGTTTGCTGTTTGACCAGTGTCCCCGCCAACAGTTGTTGGACTTGTGGGTCACCATGGTGATGGTCTCTTTAATTCTCCCCACAGGTTCCACGCAGACGCGGCATATCCCCGAGGACACCCCCAATGGTTTCCACCTGCAAAGCGTGTCCAAGCTGCTGCTGGTTATCAGCTGTGTGTAAGGGACTCTAGGTTCTCCTATCCTGCCCTCACTACCTTCCCTTTCCAGCCTGGTGCCCCAGCCCTCGTCTCTTGAAGCATCTGAGCACCTTACTGTTTTCCCTGGTTTTTTCTTTGTCCTCTAGTCTTCTCTGTCTGGATTGGTTGCTCTGCCTATTGCTTACCTCTTTGCTTCTTTTTCTCTGCTTTGTTCAGCATTTACTGTATGCTAGGCCTTCAGAAGAAAATGCTTCATGCAGCATCCATACCCTTCAGGGATTCAGTTTCAAGTGGGTGAGAGAGACAGAAGGTTTGAAATTCCTGCACAGATGGTTAAATGCGAACAGAGAAATGCTAGAGGGCATTTTAGGAGTCCATTCGTTCATTAGATGTTCTGAGTGTCTGCTCTGTGCCAGGCACTGGAACTGTGCACTCACAGAGCCCACACGTTGGCAGGGTAGCCAGACAAAAATCAATGCCTACAATACAGGAAAAGTGGATGCTTATTTTAATGTAGACTATTTATAATAATTGCTATGATATTATAAAACAGTAGGCTCAGTAACTTGCATAGAAAGATGCGGTGCTGGCTGGGCGCAGTGGCTCACACCCGTAATCCCAGCACTTTGGGAGGCCAAGGCGGGCAGATCATGAGGTCAGGAGATCGAGACCATCCTGGGTAACACGGTGAAACCCCATCTCTACTAAAAATACAAAAAATTAGCCGGGCGTGGTGGCGGGTGCCTGTAGTCCCAGCTACTTGGGAGGCTGAGGCAGGAGAATGGCATGAACCCAGGAAGTGGAGCTTGCAGTGAGCCGAGATCGCGCCACTGCACTCCAGTCCGGGCAACGGAGCAAGACTCTGTCTCAAAAAAATAAAAAAATAAAAATAAATAAATAAAGAAGAAAGATGCTGTGCTAGGGAAAAGTAAAGTCAAAAGAAATGAAGACATACAATGGGAGAACGTATGTTAGCTATCTGAGGAATGAGTCCATGCCATCAGCTGCCCAGGGCTTTATTCAACCATTTTGGGCAGGAAGCACTAGGACAGCTAAGGACAGCTCTTCCACTTGGCTCAGCCCACTGCACAGTCCCACGCCTTCCTTGGATGGGTGTATGCTTCAAGAGTGTGGGGCATGGGTGGGTGGGAGCATTGCAGCTGGTCAGATGTGGGTTCTGTCTGCTGCGCACTGTGCACCAGATTGTCTCTAGTTCAGTCTTGCTTCTGTGACCCTGGCCTCACTGAAGCATTCTCTGAGAGGCAGAGGCACAGCACAGCCTCACCCTCAGGAAACTCTGATGGAAGCCCAGGAGTGACATGCTCAGATTTGTACCAAAGAGAAAAATCACTCTGACAGCAATATGTCAGATGGATTTGAGTAGTAAAGACTGGAGGTAGGGAGGTCAGTCAGAGTGAGCTGTGAGATCTAGGTGAGAGCAGCTGTCAGGTTGGATGAAGGCCTGGAGCTGGGAGGCAGACTCATCACCCATCTGGTTGTGTAGGGAAGGAAGATGAACTACTGATTCGAGGGACCATACGTGGTCGTGTCATTCACAGACATCTGGAATTTAGCAAAGCATTTCCAAAGAAAACATTAACAGTTCCAGGTATGTCTGAGGTGCCATAGGTTATCCAGGAAGAGGTGACGGATTTGTGCTGATGTGGTCCTGGAGCTCAGATGACAAGTATAAGCTGCAGTCCCTGCTTAATTATCCATAGCATTAAAGCCATGGTGTGAATGAAAGCATCCATAGAGAGTATAGAGTGTGACAAAGAAGACAAGGTCTAGGATGGCCCTGGGGATCACTTACAGGAGGGGAAGCCATGAGGAACGTAAGGTGGACTCTTTCAGTGACTTTAATATGTCACATAAAAGTAGATGCAAAATTCTTCTGATGACAGCATAAGAAATGAAGATATTATTACAAAATTAAAAACAAAAGTAACTGTAGGCCGGGCATGGTGGCTCACGCCTGTAATCCCAGCACTTTGGGAGGCTGAGGCGGGCGGATCATGAGGTCAGGAGATTGAGACCATCCTGGCTAACATGGTGAAACCCCATCTCTACTAAAAATACAAAAAATTAGCCGGGTGTGGTGGCGGACGCCTGTAGTCCCAGCTACTCAGGAGGCTGAGGCAGGAGAATCACTTGAACCCGGGAGGCAGATCACGCCACTGCACTCCAGCCTGGGCGGAAGAGCGAGATTCTGTCTCAATAAATAAATAAATAAATGCAACTGTAAAACTAGCAAAAGTCACACTTAGCAACATCGATTTAATGTGATTCATGCCATTGTTCTGTTAAATTAAATCTCTTGTATTGGATTTTGGTTTGTAGAGCACTGTAACCTCAGGTTAGTTCTGTGTTTAAGCTCTTTCTGCATTTTAACTTTAAGTAGAGAAGGCCTGCACTCCTGAGCAAATTGTATAGCATGTTATCAACTCAGTTTTTGGTTTTGTAAGTTTAGAATGATCAGACTCTAATTCAGTGCTCCAGGATCCAGGCCGAGTGTCTGCCAACAGCCTGCATGTGGGACGGGCTGACACAGCACAGCTTGCCCTGTGTCTGGCAGACTCTTGCCCCCACGTGCCTGCTACAGTGTGACTCAGCCACCTCCTTTCCCTGTCGACCACTGTGCAGCCTTCACTCAGACAGCACACAGGGGTATCCTTTGACCTTCACTTAGCACAGACAGGATTGCAAACATAAACCCAAATGCAGGCACCAAGATCGTGAGTAGGCTGTGCCGAAGAGGCGGGTGTTCAGATGACCCAGTGTGTGCTGATAAAATTAAAGACCGTGGCATTGAAATTCAACACAAAAGTTTTAAAGGCCTTGCGGGCAACTCAGAGAGGCCTGAGAAGACAGCAGCGCCAGAAATGTGTGGCTGCCAGTTTAAAGAAGTCTACCTTCCACAGTACCAGAAGCACGGATGAGAAACACAGTACCACTTGCACAGGCATACGCTTTGAAAACCCTAAGGCGTCGCATAGCCTTTTCTTTCTTTGCTGTCTTTTCTCTATCTCTCTTTTATCTCTTTTTCTTTCTTTTCCTTTTTTTTTTTTTTTTTTTTTTTTTGAGACAGGTTCTCACTCTGTTGCCCAGGTTGGAATGCAGTAGCATGATTTCAGCTCACTGTAACCTCCACCTCCCGGGCTCAAGCAATCCTCCTGCCTCAGCTTCCCTAGTAGCTGGGACCACAGGTGCATGCCACCACACCCGACTGATTTTTTAAATTTTTTTTTGTAGAGATGGAGTTTTGCTATGTTGCCCAGGCTGGTTTCAAACTTCCCAGCTCAAGCAGTCCACCCACCTTGGCCTCCCAAAGTGCTGGGATTACAGGCGTGAGCCACCATGCCCGGCCTATCTTCTCGTTTTTTGTCATCTTCTCTCTTCTTATGTGTGTCCACATCTCCCCCATTAGTGATAAGAACTACCCTTTGTGTAGGGCCTATAGTGTGCCACGATATTTTTCAGTATATTCCCTTTTATCTACAGAACAATCCCAGTAGGATAGGTGTTACTGTCCCTAGGTCGGAGAAGCTAGGAAACTTGATCAAAAGTTAAGAGAGTTTTAAGTGGTGAGCCAGGGTTTGCATCCAGTTTTGTGTGTGTCTGGATCCTCTCTACCCACGATGATGTCTTCTCTCTCCGTCCTATGAGCTTGTAATACAGTGATGTTTAGGCAGCCAGTGAGGCTGAGAGAAGGAGGGAATTCCTGCAGTCTCTCTGTGACTCCTCATTCCCCACAGCCCCTCCAGCCCCTGGATGATCCTTGCCTCCCCTGTCTCTCACCAGTTCTGACCCAGACTCTGGGAAACCTCAGCCTGTCTCCATGATCCCTGCCCCCTGGTATCAGGTTGAGGCAGGGAAGTTTGCAGCTTGCAGGAAGTTCTGCTAATGTCTGTAAGAGGTATCCTTGGCAGAGCTAGGGACCCAGTGGAATTCCTCCTTCAGTCTCACCCTTCAATTACGTCCTAAGGTTGGGTTGGTAAGGGGAATCTTTTCTCAATTTAGCACCCGTGAAATACTAAGAGTCTGTCTGTTGCTTTCTCGTGCCCTGTCCTTGCTGGGTCTTCTCATCCATTGTGTCTTTGCTTCTAGTATTTTTTCTTCTCATACACTCTCACTCGCTCCCAGCTTGATTTTCAGTGCAGTTTTCCCCTTCCCCACACTTGCCTGTTTCTAACCTCTGCCTCCTCCCCATTTTTCTTCCTTGCTCCCATTAGGATCTGTTTCAGGTACTGGCTCTATGATTACTCCTTTACCCCCTCATCTCTCTTCCTTCCCACCATACCTCTCTTCCCCCAGGTGCCCAGGTTCTGGGTGCCTGTGCATCTCTCCTTTCTAGTGCCTTCATCCCACGCCCCTCTCCATGGCTCTCCCCTGTATCCTGGCCCGTCCAGATTAGGTTGCTTCTTTCTCTCTCCCCTGTGCTGCATCCCTCCAGCTCACTCACTCACTCACTGCAATGCTTTGGATGGCCCACTGGTCAGGGATAGCAGCCTCTGGGATGGGGGATGCCCTAGGCTCAGATGACATCTCACTGCTGTTGGTTTTTTTCCCCATGTCTCCTTCCTAGTCTGGTGCTGCTGGTCATCCTTAACATGATGCTCTTCTACAAACTCTGGATGTTGGAATACACCACGCAGACCCTCACTGCTTGGCAGGGTCTAAGGCTCCAAGAAAGGTAATCCTGGCCTCGTCCCCTCACCTCCACCTTCATCCCACCCAGTGCCATGACACCTGTCTCCCAGTCTCCTTGGGACTGCCTCACTGCCCTTGCCCAAGGGATAGCCCTCTGGGAAGACCTCACAGGGAAACTCAGAATCTCTCCCTATAGTTTCAGCCCACTTCTGATCTGGGGCACAGGGGAACCAGGGGCAGTGGGCAGAGGACAAAGCAGTCTGATGTGACTCTCTGTCCTTTAGGGGTCTGGGAGCACAGGACAGTTCGCTGAGCATAACTCCAGCTGCTGGGGTACCCCTTCTTCTACCCCACAGGTTACCCCAGTCTCAGACAGAATGGGCCCAGCTCTTAGAGTCCCAACAAAAGTACCACGATACTGAGCTCCAAAAATGGAGGGAGATCATCAAATCCTCAGTGATGCTCCTTGACCAGGTGAGATGCCCACCTTCTCTGCTTGCCCCAGTCTTTGGGAGCGGGGACTCCTTCCCTTATGCTGTGAGAAAGATCCTCGTCTCTATCACCACCCTCCAGACTTCTCCCTCCAATTCATTCTTCCTCCAAGCCATGCATTGTTCTAAATGGAAAGGCTTCCTTGAGTGGGCTGCTAGAAATGCAGGTGTATTCTAAAAAATAATAACAATAAAATGACCCACTGAATGTGCACCAGGAAAGCTGTAGGTTAGTTGGAAGGAGAACTCTTTTTATTTCTATTTTTGGTAACCATAACCATCTGACAGGCATTTAAACAGAGAACCCCCTCAACCCTTTTACAGAGATTTGTCTTCCCAGAGGGCATGTCTTTGAGTTTTTTTAAATGTTCACCGCCCCCTCCTTTGACAGTCGGTGGCACTGCACTGATAGTCTGGGAAGATGGCTGTACTTTGTCTTCTTGTCGTAGCATCATCTTTGTCGTAGTTTGCCTGTATTCCCCCCCGCAAAACGAGATCAACTATTTAGGCAAATCATCCTGAGGCAAAATCAAAAATTAGCCTAGTTTCCTTGGGGGAGGGAGCTTCCTGCTTCCCCAGAATAGTTTAGTATCTTATAAAATATGCCTCCATGTGGTTGCCTAGAGAGCAGGAACCGCCTTTGCTGTGCAGGAGAATTAGAAAGTGATAGACTCAGGATTTATCCTGCTACACGACAACTTCTCTCCCTGAAGAGTTGACTTTCTGATGTTTTGTGACCAGCCAGAGATGGCATCCCAGCCTTGTCACTAACTAATTTTGTGATGGTGAGCAAGGGACCTTGAGCTTCCATTTCTTCATTTATAAAATAGGAATTGTAATCGTAGCTTCATGGAACTGTCATCAGGATTTGATGACATATGGGTGGTGCTCATTAAAATTAAACTTTATTTCCTTGCATTGTTTGGTCTTAGCTCTAAATAAGGAGAAAGAGGCCAGGCGTGGTGGCTCATGCCTATAATCCCAGCACTTTGGGAGGCCGAAGAGGGCAGATCACTTGAGGTCAGGAGTTTGAGACCAGCCTGGCCAACATGGCAAAACCTTGTCTCTACTCAAAATATAAAAATTAGCCGGGCATGGTGGCGCATGCCTGTAATCCCAGCTGCTTGGGAGGCTAAGGCAGGAGAATTGCTTGAACCTGGGAGGCGGAGGTTTCAGTGAGCTGAGATAGCGCCACTGCACTCCAGCCTGGGCGATGGAGTGAGACTTCATCTCAAAAAAAAAAAAGAGAAAAGAATCTTAATGCAGCTATCAGGACCCAGTTGGATGTGTTTAGCTTTGTCACTATACTTAAGGAGGGCATTTTTTTTTTTAACCAAAAGAAGACAAAAAGCATAGTGAGGAGTTTAGAAGCCCTACCATTTCAAGAATGGTTGATGGCACTGAGGACAAACCCAGGAGAAGGGAACACGGGGGTGAGGGGAACAGGGTGGTCTTCAGACATCTAGGCCAACAAGTGTCAAGGGTTAGACTTACTGAAAAACTCCAGAGCACTGAACTCGGGCTAGAAGTTTAAGAAAGTAATTTTTCTTCATCATCAACTGCAGACAACTTGTGGCTAATGCTATCCAGCAATGGAACAGGCTAGTGTAGAGAACTGAGATTCCAACATTGAAAGTGTTCAAGGAGTAACTAGATGATGATGGATAAAGAACTTATCGATTAAATTGGGACAGTTGGACTAGATGACCCAGGGGTCTCTTCCAACTCTAGAATTCTATTTCAGAATGGGGCCCATTAACTTGGGGGTTGGGGCTGTCAGACTTATCGCCTAGTGGACTCTACCCTATAAGTATTAAGAGAGTTGTTTTGTTTCAGTCTCTTTAAAAGTAACTTTTAAAATAACAGAATGGCCTCCTCCTCTGTCTTGAGCAGAAGATATAAATGAACTAGAGAGAAGAAAGTGGTAGACTAAGCAGGGAGACCAGACTTTCCCCAAATCTGTAACCATTTACCCCAGAAATGTTGTCTTATGTTGTAACAGAGCAGTTTACCCAGAGACAGTATGTTAAGTATGTGAGTATTTAAATATGTGGTGTGATGGGCCATTTTAGAATTCTCCTGCCGGGCTCCATTCTAGTCTCCCATTTAGACTGCACTCTATGACCTAAAAATGTTAATTTGCTGATATGGGTACCTAATAGGAACCTACCCAGCTCTCTGCGTGGTGCCCCTGGGTGCACAAGAGAAGGATTAGACACAGTTCTAGTCCTAGCAAACATGAAACCAAGCAACGAAAGATGACTGAAGTCCAGAGCCTGAGTGTGCTGTATGAGAGACTATGAAGGAGAGGGATGACTGAGAGCTGGAGAAAGTCTGGATTTGTTCTGAGCCTTAGCAGATGGGTGAGATTGGCATAGGCAAGAGCACAAAGATTCCCAGGTGGGGGGAACAGTGTGGCTAAATGTACAAAGACAGGCATGTGGTATATTAGAGATCATCAGGGAAACCAGATGAAACGAGTAGATCAAGTCAGTGACAGCCTGAGAGGCTCTTTGTAGCAGTTGAACACTTCAAGAGAGTTCTCGATTCAGCACTGAGACCCAGTAAGCCCTACCCAAGGGCTTCCCATGCTAGATTGTCTGTCTCCTTTCTTTCTTCCTCTCCTTTTTTCTTTTATTTCTCTCTCCCTCTCCTTTTCCCTCTGTCTCTCTCTTTTTTTAAGAGGCAGGGTCTTGCTCTGCTGCCCAGGCTGGAGTGCAGTGGTGCAGTCATAGTTCTCTGCAGTTGCGAACTCCCGGGTTCAAGCCATCCTCCCATCCCAGCCTCCTGAGTAGTTAGGACTACAGGTGCCTATCACAGGGGCTGGCTAATTTTTAAATTTTTTATAGAGATGGGGTCTCTCTGTGTGACCGAGGCTGGTCTGAAACTCCTGGCCTCAAGTGATCCTCCCACCTGTGCCTCCCAAAGTGCTGGGATTACAGGTGTGAGTCACCGCGCCCAGCCTGACTGTCCCCTTTCTGCTTGAAACAGCGTGCCCAGAGAACCAGCCTTGCTTTAGGTGCCCGACTCTTTTCAGCCCCATGGCGTGGTTGGAGGCCTGCCCTAGGCGGGTGTGGGGAGAGGGCTGCTCGGTGGAGAATCCCACTGAAAGCGCAGACCCAGGCCTGGGGTGGGGTTTTCTGTCTTGCAGATGAAGGACTCGCTCATCAACCTTCAGAACGGCATCAGGTCCCGCGACTACACGTCGGAAAGTGAAGAAAAGAGGAATCGCTATCATTGACAAGGCAGGAACAGGGTGGCTGCAAGAGGCCTGTGCAATACATGTACATAGACCATATAAATATATATATAAATATATATATATACAGAATATAAATATATATATTATATACAGATTTTAAAAAAGAGATAATGCCTATGTACCAGGGAGAAGGAGCGGGCCCTCCCGCTCCCTGTGCTGGCCGGAGCAGCGTTTTCCTGGGGTGGAGCAGCTGAGGAGGGCAGGAACCGCCTCTCAGCACCGACCGCCCCTGATCTCCCTCCTCCCACCCTCTGTTCCCCACCCCTTCCCTTGCTGGCCATTCTTGGCTCTTAGAAGGGAAATGTTGAGCCAAAGTTATGCCTGTGAAGACCCTAGGGTCTCAAAAAGAAGTCTCAAGACGGCATTGCTTAAGGTGCTTCGTTCCCTGATCCCCTTTTGATTTGTTTCCAAAATAAAAGAGAATCTTTTCTTCCCTACCCCAGGCTTCCCCAGGCATTCTCTTGGGAACACAGAAACATCAAGGGAGCCCAGTCTAAACTCCTAGGGTTGGCCGCCCACTTGATCCAGACCGTACTGAGCCTCAGACGGAGAGGATGCTTGGAAGGCTAGGAAGGCTGCATTGGGGGGTGGCAGGCTCCCGAGACCCGTGTTCTGAAGGATACTCTCCTCCATCACCCCTGCACCTTCCTCCGACCTGTGTAGGGTGTGGACGCAGTAAGGGCTGGGAATTTCTTACTTTCCCACCCACTTTCTCTCTGGTCTTCTCCCAGGCTGGATCTGGGCGAAGTGTCACTTTTTAGTGCCTAAAGTCCTATTGTTTTCTGTGCCCTAAGAGCACATTGTTTATTAGCCAGGGTGGAGCATTTTTGACCTTATTAAACCTCTTTTAGTGCTTCTAAGCAAGTCAGGTCTGTGGCTCTGAGGCCTTCACTTGGAGCTGTCAGTGTGATTTCCAGGATAAGTCAGGGTGTGCTGGGCCCTCCAGGATTTGAGAGAGGAAGAGAAGGCCCTCGCTACGTCCAGGGTGCAGGGTTTACCCACAGAACACTGTGAGTGGTGAGCCCCAAGATGGGTTGCCAGTGTCATTTGCTCTTGGGATGAACCAGCATTCGCCAATGGAGACAACTGTCTGAGATAGCTTGCACGTGGAAAAAGCATCTAAGCCATTGGAGGGAAGGAACTGGCAAAGGTGCATGTGTTTGGGCAGGAAAAGGCCAAGTGAAATCTTTGCCCCAAGGGAGTCATTCCAGATCCTGAGTTTCTCAGACTTGGGAATGGGGGCTCTGGCAGGGGATGGAGTACAAATCCTGCTCTGGTCTCTGGCCCCACAGAGGTGTAAGATCATTAAGGACTAGAAGGCACTGGCTTCGAAGAGTGAGACGTTCAGGGCCTTTTCAGCATTGGCCCACTAGCACCATGCATTTATCTGAATTCACGGGGCCCTCTGGGCACATTCATCATCCCTCATATACTAACTACTATTTCTTCATATAATGATCAAAAGAGTCCCACCAGCTTCAGGCAGAGCTTGTGGAGATTCATGAAAGAGTCACAGCCAATTGGGCATGCAGAGCTCTTCAGTCTTGCTTGTTCTCCTGGGCTTCTTGATGCAGGGACAGAAGGAACCCCAGATGTCCCAGATGTCCCAGAACATCAGCCCAAAAGACAGAAGAGTTTATCACTCATCTACCCCACAAAGTTGTATTTTCCTCTTAGAATGGCCTTTAATTCCCTGTGGCAATTACAGTTTCTGACTTTTCCATGTGAAGATAAGGCCTTGGTATTTCCCTAAGGGCAGGATCAGAAAACAGGAAGGTCCATGCCCAGGTCATCCTCCAAGGGAGGAGGGTGAGGAGGATCCAAGTCATCAGCCAGAGCAGGTATTCCTCCCCTAGAAGAGGAGATGGGAGGAAATGCAGTTTCGTGTAATCCCTGTGAAGAGTGCCTACGCGCACAGCCCAGTGTGTCCTTGTTCAGTTCTTGTCTAGGACTTTGGGTAAGGGACACTGGTAGGGATCAAGGCTCATGGGCTCTGAGCCAAAGAAGGAGGCATGGTGCAGACTGCCGGAATCTCCCCCTTGGCACAGTCAGAAGCCAAAACTATTCCCAGAAAGTTTTGAATGCAGAAATTGGAGATTCCTGAATTTATTCCATACATCATTATTTACTTAAGTTATTTAATTATGAAAGGTGCCATGGTGGAACCTGTGGGATGACTTTAAAAGGGTTCTTTGTTTGGAGTCAAGTGACAGAGCAGACCTGGCCGCAGGGAGTTGTTCTGCTTCTGCTTTACCTCTCAGGACCATTCCCAGCAGGAGAAGGTGGCAGGGAGGGCAGTACTGAGTATGTCAGAAGAACCCTCCTGGGGTTTTAGTGATTTGAACCCAGTAGACAATGTGTGCACATAGGGAATGCGCTTTAAGAATTGTGGGTCTCTTGTAGGCTCTCTCTGTTCCAATAATTTTTTGACTATCATACCAGGAGAAAACCAACAACTCTATTCATTCCCAGACAAAATCTCTTCCCCCTTGGTTAATAGCTTGTAAAAGAGATCTTAACTCACCCTTGCAGATAAGTCTGGGAGTGCAACAAATAAATAGCATTGTATTCCTGGCCATTAGCCTGGCTAGTTGCTGTCTACAAGGGAGCATAAAAAAATCACTACTTACGTAACTTCTTCCAGCCAGTGCTTTTTGTGTTTGTTTTTGTTTACTAGGGACACACAGGAGTCGTTCTGTAATGACTTATGTGGTACAATGTTTGAGAGTTTGCACTCAGTTTTAAAGAATTTGCAGTTTCTAACGAGGTGAAGAACTACTATAGGATCTAAAGTTCCATTACAGCTTACTGTGAAAGCATTGACAAGACTGGCCTCAGACAAGCTAATCATGGGTGTGACTCTCTCCCTTCCCCATCCACCTCTTTGGGGACAAGAGGATTACATCTCAGGCCAGCAAGATCAGCTGCTTGAAGCTCTGTATAAGAGCACTGCACTGATGGTTTGGAGACCTGGGCCTGGGTCCTGACTTTTCCACTGACTAAGCTCTGTGGCCTTGGGCAAGTCATTCCCGTCTCTGAGCTTCAGTATCCTCCTGTCACAGGAGGGAGTGGGGCTAGATCATCTTTAAGGTAGGTTCTAGCTTTGACATCATCTTGGGGGTTAGGCCAGAGGCTGAGAAGACTGAGTGGAATTTCTCAGTTACTCTGCCAGGAGGGAACAAGCCCAGAGGCTGAAGCTTCCCAGTATTTAGAGGTGTGGTAGGGCAGTGTTTGCATTCCCAGGACACCCAGGGTGGTTAAAATATATTCTTTAGGTGGCTCGGAGGGCTGGGGAGGCCCAGTAGCGGGGGGAGGGGTGGAGAGAGAGAGAGAGAGAGAGAGAGAGAGAGAGAGAGAGAGAGAGATCGAACTTGATGTATTGCTCAGTATTCACCTAGAAGAGTTTCTTCCTTCTTTGGCCTAGTTTGTGGAGGGATCTTCCTTTGGACTTTCTCTGAGTTGGGAGAAGAACATTCTTTTCAATGGAGCTCATCTTCTATCTCTAGGCTCTGTGAAGCCTTTCATCTGTCTGTCCTTCCTCCTTACTGGTAGAAGAAACGGTGGAGAGAAACCACTTCTGGTCCTAGCACTTCTCTTTGGTCTAGATAGGGTTTGGATTTAGTATGAAGCTTTGGCTAAAACCCTTGGGTTTGCCTTAGAGCACTGACACTAAGAACCTACACTGACATGGCGAGGACCAAGAGAGCTCAAGAGGAGTGCTTTGTGAGAAGTGGATTCTCTCCGTGTCCCTGCCCCCACCCAAACTTGAACTATACCTATTGCATTTCCAGGCAGCATCCATAGGATGAGGTCCTGGAGAAGGGACTAGGGGAAGTATCTTTCTGGATGCTTGTGGTCCCAGAAGGGTACTTTCTGTGCCATACCATGTCGCTTCTTTAAGCTCTGCAGGGCAACCAAAGCCAGCCCTTTTCTCCTACTGCCCCCAGGAGAAATAGCACTCTTCTCCCTCCCCCAGATGGCAGGGCTCTGGTCTCCCTACACCTCATACCCTGCCTGCCTCCTCCAGGAGGAAACTCCAGGGCCCCTTCCTGACTCTCCCCACCCTCACCACTTGTCTCTAGGCTATGGGACAATCATCCCATTCACCACTTCACATCCTTGACTTTCATTCCCCCAACCTCCAGCAGGTTGGCCCCAATCCCCTTCACCTCTGTGTTTTCTTCCAGAAGATGCATTTTGGGTCTGAGAGGAGCATTTTCCTGGAAGGCCATCTTTTAAGACCCCTGCTTGCTGTCATAGTGCAGAGCAGGAATTTGCACACTGTTTAGAGAGCTCCCTTCCCACCGCTCTGCCCAGCCTTGTTACCTCACTTCTGCTCTGGCCATGGTTGTGAAGGGCCCAGCCAGCTCCCTGTTTTGATGTTCTGTGCAACAGCTCTGGGGTCTTGTGACTGGAGATCCTCAGCAGGCCCTGGAGCCCAGACTGGAGTCTTGGCAGCTGATGAGCAGCACCTTGCCGGCCAGGAGGAGCTGATGCTGGACGATCTCCCCAACATTTGAAGGCTTAAAGAACATTGTCATTCTTCAGCCCTCCTTGCTTCTCTCAATACAATAAGACATTGCAGAAGCAAAAGGGTGGCCTCTGCTCCAGGCAAGGCAGCTGAGTGTCTGGGGCACTGGCCTGGGGCTTGGGTGCCACGTGCTGAGATTGCACAGTCAAAGCAGCCATTTTTGCCAACAATAGCTTGTGGCTCCCCACATTTTCCTACCCTGCACTTAAAGGCCAGACCACTCTCTGCATGGACCAGACCATCTTCCCAAACCCATGGTGCTTTTTCCCCAACTCAACCTAGACTCCAAGGTGGGGAGGGATGGGTCAGAGGCCATAGTGGCCCTTGGATAATCCTGACATGAGGTGGAGTGGGGTGAGGCAGAGGGAGCAGCCCCAACACCTGCACTGGGCCATCTATGGGAAAGAACACAGGTCGAGTGCAGTCGAGTTGTCTGGCCGTCTGTATTTGGATCTATAACTGTACTTTGCCTGGCGCTGTGCGCAAGGTCGGAACACTTACTGCTAGTACCTAGAAACACACAAGGCTGCCCAGCCAAATCTTCATGTAAAGTAGCTAGAGCCATGGAAGTACAGTATGAATTAAAAAGAAAACAGTATTGAACTACAATAATAAATGGTGTGCGTGTTTATTGCTTGATTTATGAGTGCTCGTCACCTCAGATGTTTCTGGTCTTCCCAAGTGGACTCACAGCAGGTCCTGAAGGCATGCGTGTGTAGGTACACTTGTACACACACACACACACACACACGCGGCCATCCACCTTCTCACAGGCGGGAGGGAGGCCGCCAGATCGACTGGAATGGATAAGTTTCGGAGTCAGATCTGAGTACAAAGTGGAGCATCACTGTTTACCAGCTGTGTGGCCGTACGCCCCATCTGTCACTCCAAGCCTCAGTGTGTCAGAGATAATACATTTAAAAACATCGTTCTTAGTATGGCAGTTGGTATTATACTAAAATATTTTCTTTTGTTTTGAGACGGTCTCACTGTGACCCAGGCTGGAGTATAGTGGTGCAATCATGGCCCACTGCAGCCTTGATCTCCTGAGCTCAAGTGTTCCTCCCACCTCAGCGTCCTGAGTAGTTGGGGCTACAGGCACACACCACCATGCCAGGCTTTTTTTTTTTTTTTAAGAGATGGGGTCTCACTATGTTGGTCAGGCTTGTCTTAGACTCTTGGCCTCAAGTGATCCTCCCGCCTCAGCTTACCAAAGTGTTGGGATGATTAATCTTTTTTTTTTTTTTTTCTTTTTGAGATGGAGTTTGACTCTTGTTGCCCAGACTGGAGTGCAATCGGCGTGATCTCAGCTCACTGCAACCTCCGCCTTCTGGGTTCAAGCAATTCTTCTGCCTTAGCATCCCGAGTAGCTGGGACTACAGGCACCTGCCACCACGCCTGGCTAATTTTTTGTATTTTTAGTAGAGATGGGGTTTCAACGTGTTGGCCAGGCTGGTCTTGAACTCCCGACTTCAGGTGATCCGCCTGCCTCAGCTTCCCAAAGTGCTGGGATTACAGGTGTGAGCCACCGCGCCCGGCCGATTTTTAATCTTATGATGAGTAGTACTGTTATTGTAGGAGATTGTGGTGAACTGTGAATCCTGATGATGGTTTCTTGTTGAACTTTTCCCTCTTCGGGCCTTAACACTTCCAGGAAGATGAATGTTGAGAGACTGCTTCGCCGCCTTCTTTTATGTTCCCTAAACTGGTGGAGCTGAGAGCCAGATTGGCTCCTCCCTTCATTAGGTCAGCCTTGCAGGGAGCTCCTTGCTACCTGGTTAGGAAGCCTGTTTGATGTCAGGCAAGAACATAAGTGACTCTTGTGTTCCTTTGTATTGGGTAGAGGAGGAAAGGGAAGCAGAGAGGCCAGATCACACATTTAGTGTGTGTTTAATGTGAGGCTATTACATGGTTTTCATTCTCATGCATATCCACAGATTGGGTATGGGAATTTGAAGCAGGCTGAGGTGCTGGGGGAAGGCATAGTCTATGGGGCAGACACAGTAAGTAGAACAAAACCAAAGAGAGTGGTTTTTAGGGATACTTTATTGACGTGAACAAGGAGTTTACTGAAAAATAGCACATACAGGCATTATGTTGTTGAGGGCTTAGGTGGTCAGGAACATTATCTAGAGTTTGGAAAAAGATTGGCTGTGGAAAATCAAGAAAAAGCAATATGAAGATGATAACATGGAAAATACTTCTATCTGTTGCAAGACTAAGAGTGTGTGGATTGTGTTGGATGGCGGTTCACAAGCCTGCAAGCACTCGGCCTTCAGCGGCCTCCCTCTCCATCACACACACTGCTGAGCAGAGGCAGCTCTTGCCAATCAGTGACACAGGGAGGAAGCACAGAGCATTGCTGGCTCTGAGGGTTAGCTGGCCTGGGCTGGAGACCCGAGTTTGATGTAAAAATCAGACTTGCTTGGAAGTGCTTATCTCCTGAGTCCTGCTGCGAACTCAACTAAGGGGGAGGAAGTGGGCTGGATTAATCATGAGCTGTCCACCAGCTGAGATTTTCGAGATTAAGTAGGGTTTGGATGATGCTGTTTTTCAGACCGATGACTGCATAGCACACTGAAGGTCTAGGCTAGCGCTTGACAGAGTGGGTGCAAAAAGATGTTACTAGAATGAGTGGATGATCAGACTGGCAAGCACACCAAGCACTATTCGGATACGTTTGCAGTGACTAGGTGAATTCACTGAATTAGGGATTTTTCATTTACAAAATGAGGTGAGAGGAAGGCTTCTTTTGTTTTTTTGTTCTTGTGTTTTCATTTTCATGTTAAACTGGGAAAGGACAAACTTAAGATATATTCTGAAGTGTGTCTAGCTCTGGCTTCTCTTTCTTCCTGCAAAGATGACATGACACAGCCTTTTCCCTTAGATGTATGTGAGGAGGACTCGCAGATTCTGAGATGGGTGGAATTTCTTGTTTTGATCCAATAATTTTGGGGAGAGAGGAGGGAGCTGCTGTCTCTTAACCATGCACTACTCTTCACACTTCCCAGCATATTCCTGCTTTGAAAAGTGACTTTCCTAGTAATATTTCTAGGTGGACATCTAAGGAGAAACCTGCAACTGAGAAGGAAGTCTGAGTGTGTGGGTGTTTGGGAATGGAGACACTAAAGGGGCATGCCATTAAACAAGTGGTGAGAATACAGGCTGGGGTAGGGACAGGCAAGGAGTGTTTGAGGTTGGGGCTCTGATTCAAGACTGAGGTGACAGTGAAGGTCAACAGGGCAAGCTGCTCTTGGGGCCAACTGGATTGAGCAATCACATTCATGGCTGTGAAGCAGTAAGAATGGGAAAATCAGACTGAGCCAAGCTTGGCCTTTAGTGAATTGTGTTACCGAGGATCAGACATGGGAAATATCCAGCACCAAGACAACAGATGGGGTTTCCAAAGTGATAATAATAGCCCTTGAGAACTCTTCTAAGCCCTTTAATAAGCAACATCAGGCCAGATAAAGCTTCCAGAGAAACACACATCTAGTCTGGGTCTTTTGTAAGATTATGGGAAGAGACAGGGAGGTGGGTGGAGATTGGAAGTAGGCTGGTGATCACAGTACCTTGTTGATTTACAGTCATGATCAAATCTCCCAGGAAGGAGTTTCGTTGCAATTCAGGAGAAATAATGATGCACAAACCAACTAGAAAGAGAACCAAAATAGGACCGACTCTCAAAGCACATTGCTAGCATCCACCAAAAAGCAAAGTGGTAGAGAAGCAGTGAGTGGGATTAGGGGTGAGAGAAGATGGAGAACATTAGGACAGGCAAGACAGGCAATGGTTAGATGGAAGCTAAAAAATAAGAAAAGGAAGCAGCTATGGTCTAAGTGGAAAGAGAACTGAAAGAGGAGTCAGAAGACCTGGATTCTTGCTGTCTACCTACCAGCTAGGTTTCCTTATAATTTAGTAAAGCTACTTAACCTCAGAGAGCCTCAGTTTCTTCTTTTGTAATGTGAGTATTCATAATATTGACCTCAAAGGACCAGTTATAGAGAAGAAATAAAATAGTTAAGTGAAAATACTTTGTAAACCATATAGTTCTAATGAAAGTGTCAATAATGAGAAGAATGGAGAAGTTAGAAAGAGTGTGGAAGATAACCTGTCAAGGATAAATAAGTGATAGGTACCATTCAGCTTCATTAAAAGCCATGCAAGCAGCATCTGAGTTGGGTTTTTTAAAAAAGAAGAGAAAAAGGCAATCATGCATACTGCCTGTTTCAACTTAGATACAAGAGCTATTGAAACACTGAGGAAAACGCAGTGGTAGTGAGTATCTTGCTACTACCGCAAGCTGTGGTATCCACAAGCTATGGACTGGAAAAATGTCACACTAAGGCCAATTTTCCTAACTATAAAGTTAAAAAGATCTATATTCTCTCCCTTATTTCAGAGGGACTGTGTGGAAAATTACCAATAAGAAGAGTCTTGAATTTATTGCAAATATTTTCTTCAACAAAATCAGACTCTTTAATGTGTTAACGGTCTAGTTTGGGACCGGGCACGGTTGCTCATGCCTGTAATCCCAGTGCTTTGAGAGGCTGAGGCTGGCGGATTGCTTGAGCCCAGGAGTTCAAGATCAGCCTGGGCAACATGGCAAGACCCCTGTCTCTACAAAAAATACAAAAATTAGCCAGGCATAGTGGTGCATGCCTGTAGTCCCCGTTACCTGGGGGCTGAGGTGGGAGGACTGCTTAAACCTGGGGCAGTTGAGGCTGCAGTGATCTGAGATCACGCCACTGCACTCTAGCCTGGAAGACAGAGTGAGGCTCTGTCTCAAAAAAAAAAAAAAAAAAAAGGTCTGGTTTTAAGTACTCTCCTAGGGATGGAAGAATGAAAAAAAAAATGAGCTTTTAAAGTAAAGCTCTAAACCAATGGAATATGGTCTTTCCCTATAAAGGGAGGTCCCAGATCTGAGGGACCTCTCTCTCACTGAATCCCAGTCACCTTCATCTTCTTACATTCTGTAAAGCATCTTTGCCCTCTCTTGTCCCTAGGTGCTGAAGGATGTCACACTTGGACCTGTCACTCAATTAAAATGAAACATGAGATATCGACTAAAATTTTTTCCAGTTTCTCTGCTCCCTCAAAATCTAAGGGAAAAAAGTCTGAAAATTATGCATTCATAAGTGAAGTATTTGGAAGCCACCTACCCATCCCTCCCCTCTCACACCACTTATTTGCTCATGATTCATCTCAGACTAAACATTTTTCTTAGTTTAAATATCATTCTCAGATGCACTCTTTCTGGAGGGTATTTCACATTCACAAATCTTTTCATAAAGGAAGTTCTTTAAGTCTACCTCATGTTCTTCTCTCTGCTTTTTTGGCCAATTTCTAGTAATCTGAATCTATCAGAGTTGACCTCATCCCAGTGTGTGCTTGTGAAAGAAGCATTGCCATAGAGAAGTCCAATGTCAGTCTTTCCAGAAACAAAGTTATCCACTGGGCACAGTGCCTCACGCCTGTAATCCCAGTACTTTGGGAGGCTGAGGTGGGTGGGTCATTTGAGGTCAGGAGTTCGAGACTAGCCTGGCCAACATAGTGAAACTCCGTCTGTACTAAAAATACAAAATTTAGCCAGGCGTGGTGGTGCATGCCTG